TTTAACTAAAAACGTTAGGCAACGGATAAAATAGTATAATGATTTTTATGAAATTACTAAATATTATTTGGCTGTTTTGATATTTTTTTCCATTATGGATTAAATGAATATGTACTGACAGCTAATATAACCTCATTTAATAATATACATAAAATTTTTTGTCATCTTTATCCTGTAAGTATACATTTTATTTATATATCTTATTATTAATAAGAATATTAATAATTATAATAAACTAATTTATTATTTTATTTCTAATAACCTCTCTCTCTCTCAGTTAGTGAATATTAAACAATCTTCAACTAAAAAGGATTTATTAGAAAAGAAATTAATATTTAAAATATAAATAGATAAAATAGATAAAATAGATAAAATATAAAAAGAGAGAGACAAAGAGATAGACCAATGGATGCAATAATGAGAATTTTAATGGGAGAAGAAATAGAAGAAGAAGAAAAAGAAAATTTACGATTAGAACGCATATTTTTAAGAGATTGAAGCAATCCATTTGATTAGCATAAATTTCCTGGGGACGTCCAAAGACATCCCAGGGCCGTCCTAAGGATATAGGACGTCTCCAGGATATCTCTTGGATGTTTTCTGAACATATTTGCTATCAGGGATGTACGGTGCAGTTAGGGTAAAATATTAAATAAAACCTTTATTTTCATAAATAAATAATGATACTTATAAATAATAACATATACTAATAAAATTTTAATATAATTTTCATATTTTATTTCATTATTGATTAAAATATAAGAAATGGAAAAAATACAAGGTGGTTCAAATATGAATTTAATTTAATTAAGTAATTTTGTGTGTGTGTGTGTGTGTGTGTGTGATAAGATATATATATTCAATATAATATAAAATAATATTTACCCATAATTTCTTTTAAATTCATGTGAATTTTCACTCACTTTACCACTCATTAATAACATTAGCAAGAACATAGACATCCTAAAACTAGAGAACGTCATTATACAAACTGCCTCGTAAAGGTTAGGAAATATATATAGAAAGAGCTATGAAGGTCTTTCTATTTCCAGCACTTCGGATGACAACCGAAACAGCCCGATGATGCACGATTTTATTTACATAGTTACTTTCTTTATATAGACAGGAAATTTCTTTCTATTTCTTCGTCTATCATTTGACGTAGTTCCATGGCAGGCTTTTGCATAACACATAATACATAACGCATAAGAGAATAAACCAATCAGTTTTCTTCATTTCCCTCCTCAGGACAGAAATAAAGAACTCTGATTGATTGATTCTCTTATGCGTTGTGTATTTATTATGTACATACATTATGTGTTATGCAGAAGTCTGTGCTTTGGCCCAAAGGAAACGTTGCGAATACGCGGTCTATATATTATATGTCTATGATTTTTTCTCACTCCAATTTATTGCATCAATTCAGCAGTGCATCTAAAAAGAACAGACCCAGTAATTTGATTGGTCATCGCTGGAGCGGCACTTTTTATTACGCGTTATGCCTCGTCTACAATGGGGTCGTAGAGTCATAAAATATGGTCGTAGAGTCGTGGCGGTAGTCACTTGAGAGATCGTAATCGCTGTCGTTCAAGTTAGGATCGTCTACAATAGAGTCGTAAAGTCATAGAATACGGTCGTAGAGTCGTAGCAATGGTTGACTGAAAGGTTATTTTCGATCGCAAAACGCTTGCAAGCACAGTCGCTTGAGTTGGTTCCAATCCAATTTCAGCGACTATTGTAACGACTTGAGCTACAATAGACCAATCAGAGGAAAGATTTTATATATCTCGCTATGTAAACAACATGGGAAAATGATATCGGTTTGTGGACGGCACTTATTTATTCATTTTTGATAAAGTCACCTTCACAAATTTCATCAGTATCACAAGGATCAATGATAAAGAAATTATCAGCAAAATCGTCTACTTGCAATAAAAGTTGTATTAATATTTCTGAAGGCAAGTGATTGATAAATTAGTATTTTCCACAGAAAACTTAATCATTAATTACATTCTTAATACTTCTAAATAAATTTCAAATAGCGAGAATATTGATCCAGCAAATAAACATAACCTCAAAATGCCTAAAACAGATATCAGAAAAAGAAAGAATATAAGTTTTGATGTGAATTCTCTAATTATGGAATCATCACAGGCTTTTACTGCAGCCTGTTCAGCTTTGCCAGCATTGCTGAACAGTACAACTTCCACGCCAGATACAGAAGGAGAGAAAAGTATGGTGACAGTCTTATTACATGAAATAAAACGTGTACCTATGCAACAAAGAATAAAATGTTTTATCAAACTGTTAGAAATATTAGAATCATTTTAGCATGAGTGAATAATTATATAGTCATTGCTGATAGAAAATATTAAAAATATAATTGTCCTATTATAGCATATGTTATAGTGTAGTTGGATTCTATATGGAATATTGTCAGTAATCAGCAGAGAAAGTTATGTAAATGTTATAAAATTGATCTGATTGGTATATATTTTTAAATTCAATCAAGATTAAAAGCATACCATCAATCAGATTCACGTATTTTTACACAGTTGCAAAACTTTCTTCTCTATATTTTTTATATAACAGTTGTACTGTTAAAAGAAGAAAATTCAATATGAATATTAAAAGTAATACTTTTATGGAACATACAGTTTAATCATGAAACAATAGCCTTGCTTTGTGGTATCAACAGATTTTCATAAGATATCATCTTATATATCTCCTTTTTATATATCTTTTTATATATCTCCTTTTTCTAAGGAAAGGTCTGACAATATGGCACAAATAATCATATTGGACAGGTGTCATTCGTGTCATACTAAAAAATTCTTCATGATCTGTCTCATATGCCTCTTTGAATTGTTTATTGAAATATCCTAAATAATCTCTGCTTCTATTTATAGGTCTTATCCACCATCTTCTTTGTCTTTTTCGTTTTAGATATAAATATATCGATATTAAATTCAAATGGTAAGCATTTAATAACAAAGAAATACTACAAATTGCACAGAATTCCATTATATTTCTATTTCAATAACACACATAAACACAATCGATCATTCGTATTATGTACGGGCAATATCCTGCTCTCTGATTGGTTTACACTCCGATCCAGCGACTAATTGAACTTTGTACACTCGTGAACTAAAAGGTATGTGCACCGATTTTTTGTTGACTTCGGAACGCGCTCCAACTTGAGAAGAAAGACAACCATTGCTTCATACGTCAGCGCTGTCACTTAAGCTAAGACTCCATGCATGCGGTGAGCTCCGGCAAACGGCTGCGGTGACCAATCAGGAGACAGACGCATGCCGGAGCTTGCCGCAACCGGACTTGCGCCTCCCTCCTGATTGGTCACCGCAGCATTTGCCGCAGCTCACCGCATGCATGGAGTCTTAGCTTTATTACGAGAACAAAAGGATGGAATATACGAGTGTCAAATAAGTAGTGATTGTGGCGTAGACACAAATGTCTTGGAGACTTTGAGTTATAATTGAAGAAATGAAGAAAACAAATAGTGATTGTGAAGAAAAGTGGCAAAAGGCTTCATAAAATTTGTAAAACAGTATATTAAAGGAGAGTATTAATTGTCTAATAATATTTTAAGTGAAAAATATTTTTAAATTTGAGTGTAAGTTAAAAAAGTTATAAACCATAATTTCTTTAATGTTAATAAATTTGTCATCGACGTTGAATGAATATATATATATAATGTTATTATTTCCATAGGTGAGGAATTATATTATTGTGTTCAGCAGAAGTAAGCAGCAGATCAAGTTGAGTGATATGAATATCTTGTTAAAAAAATATCACTCGACTTGGTCTGCTACTTATTTTTTATGAGCGCAATAACATAATTTTCCACCTATGTAAATGATAGCATTACATACATATTCATTTAACGTCAATGGCAAATTTATAGCCATAAAATTATTAACATTAAAGAAATTATGGTTTATAACTTTTTTTTAATTTACACTCAAATTTAAAAATATTTTTCACTTAAAATATTATTAGACAATTAATACTCTTCTTTAATATGTTGTTTTACAAATTTTATGAAGCCTTTTGCCACTTTTCTTCACAATCACTATTTGTTTTCTTCATTTCTTCAATTATAACTCAAAGTCTCCAAGACATTTGTGTCTACGCCACAATCACTACTTATTTAACACTCGTATATGCCATCCTTCTGCCTCGTAATAAGTGACAGCGCTGACGTATGAAGCAGTGGTTGTTTTTCTCCTCAAGTTGGAGCGCGTTCCGAAATCAACAAAAAATCGGTGCACATACCTTTTAGTTCACGAGTGTACAAGCATCGCCATAGGACCCAGCTCACGACTTTACGACCTTACGACTTCACGACTTTACGACCCCATTGTAGATGTAGCATTACGTATCCTGTGTACGGAGCAATTTACGGCTAACTTTGGAGCGCTCGAAACGCGCGTTCGCGCACGTGAAATTTAAAATCTAGCAGAACGCGTGATGAACGTCATCGGTGTACGGGTGAAGATATTCGAGGAGGAAAGATGTATCTATAAGCGTGAAATCGTTAAGTCCGACGAGAATGACTTGAAAACGCTGCTCCGGGACCTACGAGAAGTACAGTCGGCAGTCAATGAGTTTTTAACCACATTAATTCAGCAACAAGAAGCTTCTGGCAGCGCGCAAAGTAATGTTCTATAGATACAATCGTTTAATTAGTTGCTGTATAAAATTTGCTCGTTCTTACATAATTCATTAATTCAATCGATTTGCACAGACACGACGGATCGTTCGACTTTGGACGTCGAGTCTGACTCCAGTACAGACGAGGACGAGGAGGAGGAAGAAGAAACACAAGTTAACCCTAAAAAATGCAAGTTGATATAAAAAAAATCGTGTATTCTACGTTTTTTAAATAAACACTACGTTTCGTCGATACCATAACGGAGCGTTCAAATTTGAGTACGCTTTGCGGGTAAGACCTTTTGCTTCTCTGTCGTTATAGAATTTTTATCACGAACCGCCATGCTCTCCCCACGAGAAATAAGTAGGATGTGATAACGTACGTCCTACGTGAGAACTGTAAACGATAACAGCAACTCGGACGACGGTGGTGCACGCAATTAGCACAGACTGAAACGTAATTTGATAATTTTCCACTCCGTAAACTACACCATTATTTGTAGATGCTCGAAATATTTATTTCTTTACTCGTTGCAGTTGCACCGAGCCGTGTTTCTAACCTAACGAGATATGTTGCTCTACCCTTTTTACTGTTTTTTGCGCAAAATTACTTTGGTTATTATGCGTTTACGTTGATTTTTGCTTAAATAGTAGATATACACAATCAACTCTCCGCTATTTTATATATTATTTCTTCCTTTTAAAAATACGTATGTGATTAAAAATTTGCATGTAGTGAAACACAAATGCAAAATTAACGTTTTGTTCCTATTCAATAATATCTAATAAATACTACTTAATAGTGTCCTACTTAATAGTGCCTAATTAATATCTGATTATTAACAATTTATTCTTTCAAGTGAAAACATGTGTACTAAAGTATCAAAAGAGGCTCAGTTGCGTTACATGACATCATGGTTTCAAGAATGGTCAGAGATGCAGCGGAGTGATTTTCTGGAAGTGTTGCTGAAATTCTGGGCTCCTCCGGAAAAGTTAATGAACGGGCTACTATCTGAGATGGAGAATTTGACTTGTGAAGGATCAGATAGGTATCCAAGCCTGTTTCAATGCCGTGTTGAGATTTTCAGAAAATGGAGTAATACATGGTTGCAGTCTGACAAAGATTCCTTCTTGGCAAGTCTCAAGGATATGGACAGCAAATTTGTTGAGAAATATGAAGAGAGGTTATCAGCATTAATGGAGGACAAACAGTAGTAAATTTTAAAGCATTATATGCTTTATATGCATTATAAGCATTATATGCTTTACTACTTGCAAATTCCATAAAATATGCCATAAAAATGGCATTTCGAGTTTCTTTAAATATTGATATAAATTGATATGAATTTGGAAGACTTTTGCCATTTTATATCTATATTCAATTATCCTAAAAGGAAGAGGATATTGTTTTACTACGAAATATTAATGTCTAAATTGTTTATTTTGAAAGTGACATAAGTAAAATTCTGAAACTAACTGCACTAATCAAGCAACTATGTACTAATAGTAAAACTAACAAATTCTTTAATTTAATTAATCTTATTTATTTTTAATCAATGTATATTTCGGATTTTTGTTTATGTCATTTTCAAAGTGGGAAAGTCAGTTATTGTATTAAGAAAATTGTTTAAGATAAAATAAGACCAAGATAATTGTACAAACGTTTACAAAATTTTACTTTTTTTTAGTATTTAAGATGTATTTCTTATATGCATTCCTGTCTTTGCACCTCACATGTGCCAAGTGTGCGCATTACGATCAAGTTTCATCTCATTATAATCACTGTTGTATGTTGTATCCATATATTTATCTAGGCTCGATATATTCATATATGCGTATACAATACAACATATCCAATTGTAAGAATAAGGTATGGATTAGGTATTGTACTTGATATTTAAAACAGTTGATTTTTGTAGCAGGAGTTAGGGAATATCCATGTGATTTGCACACATAATGATTATTACAGGTCTATATATAGTTCTAAGGGCTTAATAAATTTTAAGGCCTCTGATCCTTTGTTGTAAAATCATGTCGGAAGTAAGAATTGTGTACCTAATTTTTAATCCTTCAGATATTGTTTGGTATAATTGCAATGAGGGATCAAAGATTTTAATTTTTAATGATAATAAAGGGGACAATAATTTCTATGATGGTATTATCAAAAATAATTTAAGTCTATGTATTTTCTTGATAATCTATGAAAGAAGATACAAATGTATACAGGAACTTGCAATGAGTACAAAACAATTTTATTTCATTATATGCAATAAACATGTTTTATCTTAAATATCGTTTACAAAATATATCAGCAGAATTCCTTCTATTCCATTTATTAAATTACACCGTCTTGTCACCAGTTTTTTTTTCTTAAGAAAGCAGATTGCACATTTGTGTGTATCTCAAACCTATTCCTTTGGTTCTTGTTGCAGCCATTTTAAGCATATCGCTTTGATTGCATTTTGGCCAAGTCTATCTGATTCTTTCAAAATTCTTCTTATATCTTGCGCTCTAGAATGTTTAACAGCAAGCAAATACGCAGCTTTTAATTGTTTACTTTCGATATAGGCGTTTATCTAGAACAGAAACATCGACATTATCCAATTATGTAATATATTTGAAATGTTTTTGGACATATTAATAATTAATAATTGAAAACTACGATTCCTTGTCATGTGAATTAATCCTACCCTAAGTTCCGTGTCTATTATCGATCTGACCAGGGTGTCGATATGATTTTTGAGAGTCTGACTCTGCGTGCTGTACGAACGATTTAACAGCAACTTGACGCAATGCGTTAGAACATGATCAGAAATAACGTGGGCATTAGGCGCTCCAGAGCTACGACAACATTTGATCAACTGTTCGATCGCAGCTACGTTACTTTTTAAAGCCAACACATGACCAGCCAGAGAATATACCTTCTGTTGAGGAAGATTATAGTCTGCAAGAATACAATATATTTAGGGAGAAAACAAAATTCACATTCAAATGTTATTCTACTTGAATTGTATCATCTATAGGTTTGTTTTCTTTTCAACTAAAGTAAAACTGGGACTCTGTCTCCTTTTTCCTTCAATTCTAAATTATATATTTGTTTCACTCTAAAAACAAAAAGTGCAATTTACTTTTCAGCTGAGAAGAACAGACCTCATGACGCGTGCATAGAAAATGATAGCACCGTACGGACTGTGGATTACGAACCTTGCATTACTCTGAAAGCTATGCCAAATCCTTCCTCGATATCACGACCGCACAATATAGCCAGTACCGCCAAGTGTATCTTCTGCTGTTGATCGCCGAACAACGTGGGCAATTGACGTGTCTGGAAATTATCCGCGTCGACGTCTGGGAAAAGATTCAAAAATTCAGCAGCCGCTCTTTCTTCTCTCTCGCAATTCGCTAGGAATTTCGCAATTTCCGTTTGCCTGCATATGGTGTTGATATGTCTATCTATCTCCGACGGTTCCATCTCCATCGCTAATACGCCTTGGCCGTTGTAAACGGAGCACGTGCTCCTCTTCCGTTTGTTCAAGTTCTCGATCTGCAGTTCCGACTCCAAGTGCCTCTGGGCGTCTTGCAGCAGATGCACCTTGTTGTGCAGATCCAAATAAGTGTTTGCTTCGTTAATATAGAAACGGATGCACGTCATCGACGCTCGTATGCAGTCTTTCATAAACAGCTGTAACTGATACAGAATGTGCCAATACTGTTTCTTCTCCATGAAGTGACAAACGAAGATCAGATACTTCCTCCACATGAGCAAAGTGGGATCTTTCGTCCTCATGGCGTCATGGAGGTTCGCGATGTCGCCGTTTCTCAGACAGGGTAGGTAAATTCCATTGAGGAACAGTTCGCTCTCTAAATCGTTCTCGAGGACATACATCAGACATTTTTCAAATTCCTTGTGCCTCAGGAAGAACTGCAAGATGGAGCTGTAACTTCCATACATCAGTAAATAATATAGGTTTTCTTGATAGTAAATCGTTTGATTGGCGCTAGTCAAGTGCTTGACGTTGAACTGATTCTGACTGACGGCCTTCAAGCTGTTAAGCGTCTGCAGGATCTCCTGCGCCGCGTCGGATCTGAATTGCGACGGATATTGCGCTCGGGAACGGTGTACGCTCAAGTTATCCAGTATCTGCAGGATCTCCGTCAGCAGCGGAGGATCTTTCAGCGGCCGGCACTTGGAGAATTCGTTTCTCTTCGAGTGACCCTCGCTCGCTCGCTCGTCCTCGTCCAATGCTTTGCTCCTCTTCGGCGTGGACGTCATCTCGATTATCTCTCCCTTGCCTTCTTCGGCCAGCTCCTTAGAATATGTCAGCATGACCCAGCCGTCGAGATCCTCTTGCACGATTTTGTCGAGGCAGTGGTAAAACTTCTCTTTCGCCTGATCGAAGTAACCAACTTTCAGACACGCCTTGCCCCACGCGGCCCACACTCCTTGTGTGTCCAGTCCCGCTTTAGTGCTAACGTCCAAGGCTAACGTCCACTGTTCCTTCTCGGTGAGGAGGTCGCGCAGTTTCCTCAGCGTGTGCTCGTTCAAGTCGTCCTTTGGTATGAGAGCCAAGCAGTCGGATTGGACTAATGTCGCAATAAGATCCACTTGCGAGAGGAAACGATCGCAATGCGCGAGGCCGGTATTAAAGCCGAGCTTCGCGCACTTCACCTTAGCTGCAACCAGCAGAGAACGTATCATTCTGATAATCACTGCGTGATCTACCTCGGGATTTATTCTGCCGCCACCAACAGGTTGGAGCAACTGCTTCATCTCATCGCAACAGTCCAGTAAAAAGCTGTAAAAAATCATGATGCCGATATTATTTTGTTCCTTCGTTTTTAGATAATATTGACGGAATAAATATATTTTTTCATATGTATAATATATATATATTTTTTTTGTATATATGTTTTTGTATGTATATGTTTTTTTATATTTATATTTATATACGTAATATTTGAAGGATATAAATTAATCAGGAAATCCTTGACTTTCTACGGCCGTGTTCCAAAATTCACTGCCAGTACTGAAAATATATAGTTTGTGTCACGCAAACTATAAATTTTCAGCGATGACAGTGAATTTTGGAACACGGCCTACATGTTCTGCATCAATTTACTGTTACAGCTACGTTAAAAAATTCAATAGTACCTAGTGTACATCTTGTGATCGGAATGCAAGTTGAGAATAGCGAGGCACAGTGAAATGTTCGGCGCGTATTCGAACGAAAATTCCTCTCTTATAGTACGATTGTGTTTCTCGTCCTTTGTTAATCGCCAATAATCAAACGCTTCACTGCTGGGCGTCGACGTGTCCTGCGCTGCTCGCATCTGCAGTACTGTTTGACGTTTGCAGTCGTCGCAAACGCGTACGGGAACGGAGGCAGGATAGCCGGCGACTTGCATACGATGTTGAGAACACATGGCGCAGACAACGCGACCGCATCTCCTACAGTGATGACGTCTGTTGAACATCGAGAATATCACCGCCTCGCAGCAACTACACTCCCTTGCCTATTAAGCAAAACAATATCTATTAGATAAATACATTTTCAGTAAAAAAGCGAGGAAAGCTTGGCTGAAAAGATATACACCTGTTTTAATATACCCCAGGAAAAATGACTATATAAAAATTTTGTATTTTATATAATTATATATAAGTTATATATAGATTATATAAATAAATTATATATACATAATTATATACATCCGTATGGGAGGAATATTGTAGAATAAAAAAACAAAAATTAGTTTAACCCAATTAAACATTATGATCAACATTATGGTCTGCCACGAGAAATAAATATTTACTTCAATTGTACAATAGCATTCTTTTCAGCATAAACATGTATAATCATGTATGATTATATAGGGTGAGGCACTTAATACAGGCCAATCTTAAATAATTTTGAAAATATGCAAGATAGAAAAAATGTTAAAGACAGAGGTTATAGAGTTTTAAGTTATGCATCACATAACAATATTAATATGACCTTGAACGTTATTAAGATTATGGAAAGATCACCTTGAATCATCTTTTTCTACCAATTATCTTGAACAATTTTTGTCTGAAACGTTTTCTTATTTGCTTAATACTTTTTGAGATATTTAAGTCAAGATATTGTAAGTCAACTATTGAAAAAGTTTACCAATTTCTTTTTAAGTATCTCAAAAAATATCAGGCAAATAAAAAAATGTTTCAAAAATTGTTCAAATTAATTGACAGAAAAATGATATAATAAAAAATACGAGTTTCCATTTAAAAAAATTCAAGATAAACTTTCCGAAATCTTGATAACGCTGTTTAAGATCATATCAATATTATTATGTGATGCATCACTTAAAACCCTACAATTTCTATATTTAACATTTTTTTCTGTCCTACATATTTTCAAAGTCATTCAGGTGGTCTGTTTTAAGTGCCTCATCTTGTGTAATTATGTATGATTATATACGTAGCCATGTATAGAGACAAAATTCATCAAAATAATCATTTTTTCCCGGAATCATTATTAAAGATTCTCGATTTACCTTGTCATTAGGTATCCACTCCTCCTTAGTGGGAACATTTACGGGCATGACAAACTCGTTGTCCTCTGTCTCAAGATTGGATTGTGGAACATTCTTGCTTTTATTTTCGATACTATCGCGTTGGAGTGACACGCGAAAGTCCAACGATTTTTTGGCATATAATCTTATGATTTTGTCGAAGTTGCCGATGCCTATATCAGGGTGCTGCAAGTCTTCGTGTAAAGTAGTTAGAATTTTTTGGATACTTTCGAATTTACAGTTCATTAGCAATTGTTCCAGCATCAACAAAGGTTCCTTGATCAGATGAATGTATAACGCTTTATCTTTATTCTCCAGCATCTTCAAGATGTCCACCCCTATTAAAGTTTTTCGGTATTTAGATTCTTCCGTTGCTTTACAATGTTCTAATAAATAGTTAGCGACGAACTTTAACGCGCTAGTGGATTCTAACTTCTTGAGAACTCCTTTACACATCTTCACTGATTGACTTGAGGGCAACGCTTGGAGAAACTGAAACACACATTAATGAATCCTTTAAGAACAAAAAGCTAATAAGAACCTAAATGTTGTCACAGGGGGGATATCGGTTATAATTAAAAATCTTAATATATAAATAACCATCTATAAAGTAAAATCTTAATTATATAAAACAAACAAAATATATAAAATAAAATTTTAATATAATAATTTAAAGTAACTTCAAATTTTAGGAGGATAAAAGTGTTCAACAATGTAACGTATTTTCCAAAATTTCAATGCACGTAGAGTATTACTTGTATACCGTACTGTTTATGCAGCAATTAATATTCTAAATCTTCATTAATTTATACAATAGTTTATATTAATTAAACAATAATTAATATTATATTAATATTAATATATATTTTAGATAGTTTAGATAATTAATGTTAATTAATAAGAAATATATTAAAATCATGTGTTATAAAATTATATGTAAAATATAATATAAAAAAATTTAATCAATATTAATCATCTACTCCATTGACCACGCAGTAAACTTGCAATAAATGTTACAAAAAATGCTTGTATCATGGTGTTCACATCGATACATTATTCAATTTCCATCGAGAAATATCTTCAAAGGTGCTGCACGATGTAACATACCTTGAGAGCTTGATCGAAGTCATGCTCCTCGTTCTTCAAGAGGCCGATCAGGAAGTCTTGTATCACCGAGGGCTGTATCTCCAAGGAGAACGCTTGACACTCCAGCCACTCCAAGCACAACTCGAACTGATCCGCATTGATTAAGGATTTGATGATCTGGAATGGATCGATCTTATCCGTGCAATAGACGACGTCATACCACGTGCTATTCGACCTGCTCACGCAGTACGGGATCATCTTGTGGAAAATCGTTATCCTGCACAGGATACCGTTCATCCGGTGTTTGCAGTGCGCCGGCAGTCTGTGACTGTGCTCGTGCTGCAACGCGTGGAACAAGGCGTGCTCGCATACGTTCATGGGCCACTTGTTGATATTGTGCAATATCGTCTGCGTCAATATATGCACGTCTTTGATCTGATACAGGTACTGCAGCACTCTCGTGGTAGAGAGGACACCCAGATTGGAGAGCACGTGGCTCAAGAGTAGGTCTTTGAAGCGCAGTAACTCCTTGTTGTACCTCGTGACATTGTCGGCTAGAGCGTTCAAGATCTTCAAAGAATTTTCCCAGTTGTAATTGTCACCCCGGCGCTCGAAGTGCTTCCACAACTCGTGCGCGGGCACGCTATCGTGAATAGCAGCGAGAGTTTGATTGCCGTCAAATAGCGGCTTCAGCCTGTCGACCCACGGGGAATTCAGCAGGTTCTCGAGACACGCGGTGCGTCTCGTATTGTCGCAGCTGTTCTCCAGGATCGTCGGACTCTCGTTGTGCATCCTCTGCAGGAGGTAAGAGAGGAGCCAACAGTGGCCTTCCAGGTATTGCAGCAAGTTAGGCCTCAGTCTGCGAGTTTGCCAGAGTGACGTTTCCATGGCATCCGTGGGTCTGACGACCGGCGCTTTGTGTTCGTGATATTTCAAGATTACTTCGTAGGCATAGTTGAACGCGATGTATTCTACGTCGGCATCCTCCAGTGTTTCGAGTCCATCCGCAAGAGCGCTCATTGTGCCAGCACTGGCGTTTTGCGACGACACGTTCCGATACTGTCGCACGAAATCAGGCAGACTGATTTTCCGCCTTGCCAGGTCGGCTATAGAATCGTCGCCAAGTCTCGACGAGTAATGAGAGACATAATCGCGTATCGCGACGTTCAAGCTCTCGTTTAACGTCTGTGTCTCGTACACCTGCCAGCGTGAAGTATATTCGTCATGATTCATTCGTGTTTAAAGAGGCGAATAATTAATTGGTTAACACATTGCCCCGATATATCAAAATCTCGGAAATCAGAAATTGCGATTTGTTGAAAAGTCTTAACATAGAAATCCAAATATCAAGACAACTCTCGTCAGGTATATCGTTATCAAGGAGGAGAACACCTTGAAAGCAGTATGCACAGATGTATTCTTATGAGAGAAAATGCAGAAGTTAACTAAGTTAAATTAAAAAGCCGTTAACTTTCCAAATTAAATTTTTTAACTGACTAGTTATTATACAACTTTAAGTAAATACTAATGTATCCGTCTGTATAACAATCCCGAGACTTCAGTGAAATTATATCGCCGGAGATTGTCGGATTTCGATATTATCAGATTTATCAGAAAATCATCCCACTTTTTAAATTTCGATATATTTTTGTTCGAGACAATTCAGGCTCATCAATTAATCGAGCATAACTTACACGAATTTCAGGCGTCCCATAGAACTCGTTGGCCATGGCAAAGACGACTTTCGAATTCTGCACGAGGTCTAAGTCCTGCCACGCCAACTCATTGAGCTCCTCGACCCGTGTGAAGAACTTGAAGTCGTTCGAGAGGTTGCCTAACAACTTTGATCTAAGAGAGGCGAGTGTCACCAAGCCCAGATCACCGATTACATAGCCGACCGATGCCAAAGATACCATGTGCCTCAAGTCCTCAAAAGGTGGATCGTTGCACCATACAGTCAAGCACGTATGAAGGAACATGACGTTCCAAACATTCAGAAAAAATGTCAGCGTCTCATCGCCCACGGACAATTCGCTGAGATCGAGAGTAGCGAGGTGCGACGTCTTACTTAATATAGTTTGCACGTCCGTGTGATTAGAGATACTCTTCAAGCGTGAACTGTCCAGATGAAACTGTTCCGAGCTCACGCTGCATAGAACTTGTAAGAGTTCCGTCAATATCTCCGAAACACATTGATTCGGCCCTTTAATCGCGACATTCTTCGCATCCTGTAAAAACGATATTCTTGGTGACGCTACATCTATACTGTTTATATCATTGAAAATTAATAACAGATATTCTGGGAGAAGAAATGATTGTATAAATGGTTATATATAAGGGTATATCAGAAAGATGGGCACCCCGGATTAACTTGAAAGAACGACGGTTTAAAAAAAAAATACGTTAAATATAAAAGTTTTTGGATTTAGAAATAGGTTGGATTTAGAAACCAATGGTGAACTGGAACTTGACCTAGGACTCAAATTTAAAGGTCAATTCAAAGTTAACTTTAGAATTGTAAATGGAAATCCCTATTTTTATTATATCACTTTTTTCCTTTAACTTTTGAAAATTTCAAAATCATCAACGTAACAAAAGTTAGGGCACTATCGTATTTTTCAGATCAAATAGAGCAAAAAAAGTCTAGTATCAATTTTTCTTCCAACTCTTCCGACAAATAGTTACCGAGATATCTTAAGTCAAAAATAAAAAAAGGTAGTTTTCCTTAAATATCACAAAATATTAGACAAATAAATATTTCAGATAAAAATTATTCAAATTAATTGGTAGAAGGAGATAATATAATAAGAAATGGGTTTCTATTTACAATTTACAAATCCTTGGTTTGACTTCTAAATTTGACCCTTAGGTCAAATTCAAGTTGCCCACTTTCAAACTCTAAAACTTTTGTATTTAACATTTCTTTAAAAAACGTCATCCCTTCAAATTAATCCGGAGTACTCATCTTTTTAATACACCCTGTATAAAAATATTATATTAGCATTTTTAACCCGTTTATCGCGAAAAATATTTTCATTTTTGTTATCTTCTGAAAGTTATATCTTAAAAATCAAACTTCTGCGAACATATATTTACTAAAGCTTTTTTTGCTTATTTTCTAACACAGAATCTGTCCTGTAAATTTATTGATAAGTTCAGATACAATCTGTATAATCATTCTTCTGCTTTAGACAATGAATTGTTGAATAATGATCACAGATTCGTACCGATTCGATTTGATTCTGATTCAATATGATACATCCAGTGTCGTCGATGCTGGTATAATTTCTCTCACTATAGCAGGGAACATTAGGACACGCGTTCACAAGAATACTGTAGACTAAATTCACTTGCAAACTAGAGGCGACCGTTTCGAGTTTATCCGGCTCCGTCTGCAAGTCGAATATCTGATAGCCGAAATAACGGTGTAACGGCGTTTTTAGTAAATCAGTCACTGTCTGTATGCTAGCACCATCTAAAATTATAAACAGTAGTTTATTAGAATTAGTATAAATTCAAGGCAAATTATTAATTTAACGAGCAAAAATAAGTCAAGTAAGGTAAGCTTTTGCAATAGACGAAGAATTAAGGGGTAACATCTGAGTGAACGCCTGAAAACACAGAGTAAGTTTGGGAATTTTTTGTAGTTAAATAACAACATAGATGGAAAATTGGTTTGAAGGCCTCTAACGTGCATACCTTAAACTACACAAAACAATTTTTTGTTATTATTTTGCCTCAAGATGGCGCTGAAGCTCTCCAAGTAAAACCACATTTTTCGAACTGGCTTGCAGCAGAACTTTAACAAATTTCATCCGATCCATTCGAAATTTTTACAGTAGCTGCTAAACTAAATTCTCTAGAAAAGTACACATGATTTTTATCGGTTTAAAACTTTTGTTATTATAAATATTTTTTCACTGAATTTCTTGGATAAAACTGAAACTTTTTTTCCTAATGTTCACCATTTCTACAAAAATCAATATTTTAATATATACGTGTGTACTTTAGCAAATTTAATGTAGATTAACAAAAATTTTGCCTTTTTGAAAGTGTACGACATTTCTGCTGCAAGTCGTGGGGACCCGTGAAAAAAATGCGGTTTTACTTGAAGAGCTTCAGCGCTGCCACTTGAGGCAAAATAATAAATAATAATAAATAAAATATAATAATAAATAATAAAAATAATAAAAATAATAAAAATAAAAATAAAAATTGTTTTGTAGTTTAAGATTAATTGTAGTTTAAGATATGTGTCAAAGGCCTTCAAACCAATTTTCCATCTATGTTGTTATTTAACTAACTACAATTTAACTACAAAAAATTCCCAAACTTACTCTGTGTTTTCAGGCGTTCACTCAGATGTTACCCCTTAAGTAAACCAAACAAAGGACTTACTACTTGTGTCGGGGATAATACTATATACAAGCTGCAGATGAGAGTAAATATTTTGAAGGTATTTTCGATCGCTATTATAAATAGCAGACATCTTTCTTATCGTTTTCAATGCTAGAAGACGATTATTGTCACAAGATTGTTCCTCGACAGTCTTTGCTCTCTCAACGTCATTGAATGCGCAGTAATTGTTCCCGAAATCGCTCCAAAATGCGTTGCTTTCCTTCCACTCCTTCATGGACAATGGAATTCTTACGTCGCACAGTATAGTCGTCACCGATATATTGCTCTTGCTCTCGTAAAACAATTGATAGATCTTAAAGAAGAAATTTGCGTGTTCCGTGCTGTCAAGCAATTCGCACAATTTCAAGTACTTCATAGCCACGTCGCAGAGATTGCTCGATATCTGATAAGTTTGTCCTATGGTTAAACTCAAGTCGAGCACGCTGAGTGTCAGCATCTCGTTGCTACTTGGAATATTTGCCTTCAGCAACTGTAAATGCGGCTTCTGCGACGCCAGAAGTGTCTCGAGTTGATTCGTGTACCTGGAGGATTGCACACCTTCTTGCGCAGCTAGTCTTATATTCTGCAATCATACGGCGACAATTGGGTATTTAGCGCTCAAGAGACGAAGAAATTGGCTATACAAGGCACGGGATCTCACTTCTAACATGGAAGTTTTCAAGCTTTCCTTCGGAGAATCCGTCGTATCTGACGTGTAAACGTATTTGAGCGTATCCTGCTTGAATGCGTGAAGAGCTTCGGCAAATCGGACCTCGCCATCTAACTGCGTGTTTTCCATGCGAAACTTCTGGAAAGCAGAATTTATTTGTAAAGAACGTTACACGATCGAGGAAACACAAAATGTTATACCAGAAGTTGATAGTGCTCTTGTCAATAATTCAGATTCGTATTATGCAGACACTTTCTCATACAGTTAAGTATTCTGAGCGCGAACAACGCTCTCCATTACATTTCGAATCAAATTATAACATGCCTCAATTGCAGGTAGATATACGGGACACGAAAGTCTTTGAAATCGCGTTGGACGATATGAATTATGATGAAGAGAGTGAGAACGAGATGATTAAGCCGGCCGACCTCGCGGGCTTAAAGCCGCTCGCGGAGGATGAAAGCAAGTACGCAGCGTTACATTCCCACGTAAGGCGTTACAATCAGCGCAATACTGAAGATAAGCAGCAGCTTTCGAATATATTTTCCTATCTGCGACCGCATGCGGAGGAGACGTTCAATTCGGAGCAAGAGGAGAAACCCTTCATCGCTGGCTTTAAGCACGAATTGGACCAAGTGAGCGTTTTGCTGTTGCTTGATAATTTTTTTCATACCATTGCAGAACCTACTTAAGTCCCGTTAAACCAGCTTTTCTACACGGCCGCGATGCGAACGACAGCCGCATACAGGACATCAGTGAAAACGATGGCTCATGAGAAGAGGAGAAGCGTGCGGAACTACAGAAGCCGTAAAACAAAAGTTAACACAGGTACAGGTAATTAAGCGCTAATTAAATGTACTAAACCGCAACTAAATATGGAAGGAAAGAGAACAGATGTGAAGAGAATAACCATCCCTGTACATTCTACCAAATAAATGCATGAAGGTGTAAACAATGTTAGAATAAAGCGCGAGGAAGCGGGGAACCAGTACGGAACGACGTCAGATGAGGACATGGATTTCTTCCAAATGGCAAAGAACAGCAATGTTACAATTAACGCGGAAACGATAGAATACCTTGGGGAAACGCAGTCGACACGCGCGCAATACGACGTCTATGAATACGGTCAAGAATCAACGAGCGAAGACGCAGAGAAATATACTCCGGATCAGTTTTTAATCTCGAGCAGAGGCTCGACTCTCGCGGACACCGAGAATCCTGAGGAAGAACCGTACGATTACGAAACTCTCAAATTGGAGTACGAACAGCAGCTGGAATACGGCATGAAGCATGGTAAAGTGTTGAATTACACCGAGAAGAAAGAACCGAAAGATACACCGAGAGAAGCATTGAAGAGGATAATGGGTATGAAGCAAGCCAAGAATTGCACGAAAGAGGAGATCAGTCAGATTGGAATCAAGGCGATAGAATGCCTCGCCTACGACTATCAACATGCACGAGATATGGCGACCGCGGGAAAGATCCTCTCGCGGACGTGGCTGGTTCTCAGGGTCTGGCTGCTGATTTACATCTGCCTTGCGATCCCGTGCTGGTGCCAACGAGGTAACTTTATCATCCAAGCGTGACACTCTTCCCTATGATGTATGTATTCCCTATGAATTATAACTGTACACAGAGAAAAATATCATTCTACTGCTAAACGATTACTCAGTTCACATCCTTCGAGTAACAATTATTTCAAACAAAAATATTGTCTTGACAGTTTTCATGATTTTTTTTTGACAAAAGTCTTAAGATGTACTCATTGAAAGTTTTAGAGAAGTTCACTATGAAGTACTCAAGAAAGAATTTATTTTATTTTTAAGAAAATAAAATGTACACTCTATATAGGAAGCAAATTGATCTTTTGTCCTGATTTAATATTCTTGTTTGTGAATTTAATCTTCTTAATTGAAATGCCTAACTTGTTAGGATTCAAAGTATATTTTGAATAAATTTGATGCTTGTATGATATGAGCTTGCATGATAGATTTGTGAATATATAAGCTTATGAAATACTTGAAACAGGAGGAAACATTTGCTTGAATGCAGCATATATATTTCTATGTACACAAACAATACACTGTGTTCCAGGATGGTGCTGCTGGTGTTTCCGTTGCAAATTCTGTCTTCCACGAAAGAGAATTTTATTCGCAAAGCAATATTACACTATGAATCCACCTGGCACGCTAGTAAGAAATTTCAAGAAAGAGAAAGACGTGCAAGAACCTATTAAATACGAAGCTACCGAGGAGGAACACAATGCGTACAGGACATTCGAAGCTGCGATAAAAAATATATAAATATCAATGATCTGTAGTTATAGAAATATTTATGTTTAACTAGAGTGTCTCTAATCTATATCGAAACAAGACATAATATAATTATGTGTTATATACAAAATAACGTTACCTCGATTACCTCCCGCGCCTTCTGAAGATCACCTCTCCATAAACAATGCAAAACCAAACTCTCTTGTGAGGCCAACATTAAGTTAATCAGAGACGGTCTGTCCTTTGTTGTTGAAGGATCTGCTATTACGGCGGCATTTCTGGAACGTTTTCTACGTCTAGCACCACCGCTTATTAAGCCCGACTCCGAACTGCTATCGGATTTCAATTTAGTCTCGTCTGAAGTGCTACCCTCTTTATAAAAGAATGTGTTGCCCTTGATACGACGTGGAAAATTTAGTTTCGGAGAAACTGTAAGTTCTATTCTACTTGTAGCGGAAGAATGATGCGTCTCGTCTTGTGGGGCAGTAACATTTTCGATAAAATCAGATTTCATGTAAAATTGCAATCTCCATCGTGCATCCGCCGTTGCCGAAATGAAATTACTGAAGGTTGATATACTCTCGCGAAGATATTGCACTTCCTCGAGCTTTCCGGATACCTGCAATTTTTCGATTTCTTCCGTCGTAACTATAATACTTTTCCACAAAGAATGCAGCATGTCTTTTATGGCATATTTATTACACATAAAGCCTGATTTCTCATATTCCATTGACTTATTGTTATTTGTCGTCTCAAGTGATATATTGCAGTTATCTTTGGAATTAGCATTTGTAATGTTAAAGTCTTCATGACGTAAAAACAACAATGAAAATATATTCTCCATTGTCTCTATTCTCAAAGATAATGGATACAAAGAGGATAAATATGATACCATGTCAGTGAAGCATTTAGTAATATGTTCGTGTTCTGTGCTATAAGATTCGCACAATAAAATGGCTTTTAAAGCGCTCACTATGCTACAGTACGCTTGAAAGTTTTCAGATTCAGTAGACTCTATCAATAAATCTTGAATGGCATTGTGATCTTGACCATGTATATTTGTCGTGATCTTCAATACAGAAAGTATATTGTGTTTCTGCAGAAGAGTAAGAATCTGCTTCACAGACACCACTTGTTCAATCTCATCAGACTGTATATTCTTTAATTGCTTAGTGTCTGATCTTTTTGTAAAATATCTTCTTTTCCAATTTAATATATATTCCACAATGCCAATATGGTTTTTTAAAAGTGTGTAGAATTCATTTAAATCGTAATCATTGTGTAAATCAGGGTAACACTTCTCTAACAAAAACATGATGGATTCACAGATGAAGATGCCATTATCACAGTCTTCAAGAGAATCAATTTCTTCATGTGGACACTCATTCAATGCTTTCATCAATAAAACCGGATACAATCTCTTTAGTAAATCACATGATAACAATAATTCTACTTCACTATACTTCCTATTTACAGTTAAAATATAACAAATATCCTGTAACATACATATAAATTTATTACATAAACTGTGAAGAAAAAAGTATATAGTTGCTTTTATTTGACAATTATTATTAAAATTATAAACAGGATTAAAATATAATGCTTACTAAAATATCATTCAACCAATGCAATTTTCTTATGCTTATCCTCTTGAGTAATTCCTGTTTGCACAGAACTATTTTAGAATCTTCTGTTAATCTAAATATATTTTCACTAATTTTATACACTGTATCTAAAGCTGTGGCGGCTTCAGAACAGCCATATGTTTCTTTCCAAAATAAGAGCCATTCGCTGAATAATTTCTCACTTTTTTTTGAGTATAATGCAAGTTCAATATCTTTAACATTATGTATTTTTGATAATGTAAGATAAAATGTTTTTAAAAATTGCATTTCAGCATTTGCATCTATATCTATTTGCAACAAAAGACACAATATAGTTTGCAAATAAATATCTTGATTAGTTAAGCTAGCTTCCAATGAACAAGATTCAGCTACTTCATATTTGGAGTACCAATTCTTTCTAATTGAAGTATGTTCAAGACACAATTTCAATGTAGAGAAATAAATATCTTGCAAGTCACCAGTAACATTGCATAATGCATTCGGAACTATAGATATTAATTTGTTTATAATCCAACATACAATTCCTGTATGGATATATATATTCTCTTTTAGGAATGTGAGAGTTTGTTGGGATATGATGCTTATTTGTGTACAATGCTTTGTGCTTGCATCCCTAAGAAACATCAATAATTCCTAAAAAATAAATTTTTATTTCAAAGTAAGATTTTTAAGAATAAGAGATATAAATGAGATAGTAGCGATAGTCGTTTAATATGCAGAATATATCTGAATTCTACTACTAAACTCTACTAATAAACTCACAGGATAGATTCTACATAAAAAAAATAAGTAAACAAGTTTTAAGTAAATACATATCCTTAAGCATTCAATTTCTGATATATAACTGCTCTGTAATCTTAATCTGAAAATATATATTTTATTCATTAAATTGTTTTGCAAATAAGTAAGACACAGAGTTATAAAAATTTCTGCCATATCTGCGAGTTTCTTGAGAATCTAAAATTTTATTCATTAAATTGTTTTGCAAATAAGTAAGACACAGAGTTATAAAAATTTCTGCCATATCTGCGAGTTTCTTGAGAATCTAAAATGCATCTATGATGTCAAAGAAAAATAAAGTTATTTTAATTTCACTTATAACAAACAGTAACAATATGTAGCACAATAAATAATTCTTTTGTTAATATTCAGAAATTATCAAAATTAATATTATCTCATCTTCAAAATAGATGAAAAAATATTGTAAATATATGTTCACTAAAATTTCTTTTTACTTATTTTTCAATATAGAATCTGTCTTATAAATTTATTAGTTCAGATATATCCTGTATATTAAGTTTAGTAAGTTACATAGAATAAGTTTGTAAAGAATACCTTGTACACATAATCTGGAGCATTACTGCACATATCTATAGCGTTTCTCATTTGTATATAGTCAAGTTGTGTCTGAATATTGCAATGTATATCACATTGAATATTGGATGACTTGCTCACAAGCTTCCACAGCAAAATATAAGCAATCCATTGGTATTGCTCTTCACTTGGAGAATGACTGTAGATGTATATTATATACAGGGTGGGGCAATAACTATTAGGACCTTAAATATCTTCGAACCTATAAGGCTCAGAGGAAGATTTGTGTAACCAAAATTACACGGTACGAAGGGGGCTATCATGTAGCGATAATCATTTTTGTTCAGATGGAGGCGCTTCGGATATATCAAGGTCATCTTCATTTTTTTAAATGGGTCCAATATGTTTTTTTTCCATAATATAATAGAGGAGCTCTGAAACAAGTTCAGAACTCACGACACAAGATCACTGAACAAGATTTAAAGTAAAGAAAAATCGATAAAAATACATTTTTATCATTAAATGAAATTTACATTTACAAAAGATGTTCGAAGTGATGGTCATCATTATCGATGCAGGACTGGATTCTTCCGATCATTGATTGGCTTGCTCTTTTAATAACGTCAGGAGTTATTAATGTACAGGCTATAATAATTCATTGTTGCATATCTTGAGGTGTAGTTGGTTTTTCTTTGTAGACCATATCCTTTAGGGTTCCCCATAAAAAGAAATCCAGTGGTGTCAAGTCTAGCAAATAAGCTGAATACATGAAGAATACAAAATTTTTGCTCGCACTAAATTTTGTTGACATTCACCATAAATTAAAATCATGTCAACTTGTTCTTCAAATGGATATATCTTACACGATTGACTGATTTGTCGATACTAATCTTGTCATGTTTACTTTTATTACTACAGTGAACTTATTAAGATGTTCTTCAAAAAATGTTTGTTTTCATTGAAGTGATAATACGTATCTATTTTCACTGCTGAAAGACATTTGAGCAAGTTCTCAGGATAAACTAGACATGAAAATGGATTGAAATAAGATTAAAATAAAATAAAAAGAAAAGTCAGTCAATCATGCATGATGTATCCGTTCGAACATCTTTTGTAAACATAAATTTCATTCAATAATAAAAATGTATTTTTATCGATTTTTCTTTACTTTAAATCTTGTTCAATGATCTTATGTCGTGAGTTCTGAACTTGTTTCATAGCTCCTCTATTATATTATGGAAAAAAAACATCGGATCCATTTAAAAAAATGAAGATGAACTTGGTATATCCGAAGCGCCTCCACCTGGACAAAAATTATTATCGCTATATGATAGCCCCCTTCGTACCGTGTAATTTTGGTTACACAAATCTTCCTCTGGGTCTTATAGATTCGAAGATATTTAAGGTCCTAATAGTTATTGCTCCACCCTGTATATAGTATACAAGAGAAAACGATAACATAGTACAACTGATAAAGATTTACTTACATCAAACTTTCGACTATAGCCTCCAATTCCGTCAAGTCGACGCTGTAGTTGTGACTGCATTCCCTTAAAGAATCGCTGTTATCGTGTGCTTGGAAAACATTCAGAGATGTGTACCACAATCGAGATGAAATACATTTATCCATTTCCAACATCCCTACTTGTTTTGACATTTCTTCTGGAGACATTACGCGTGACATTATTGAATTACTTTATGATCTTTTCTTCGATCTCTTTGTCTCGATATCAGTCTTTCGCAAGACCCGATAGAGTTCTTTATTGTATCGTATTTGTACGAAGCAGAAGAAAAAATATCAACGCATAGGACGTAGTCAAACATGACACAATGCAATTCTACGAAAACGAAAGGCGTTATTAATCACTGACAAATTCTAATACGGACGAACATAACCTACCTTGTTTGATATATATAGTACATGCATATTGACTGCTTTCCAATATTCACTGCCAGTACTAAAAATCTATAGTTCATGTCACATACACTATAAATTTTCAGTATTAGCAATAAACAGGTCTGTTAAGCCAGCGGCATACGGTGCTTGTTTTCGTGCTGGGTTGTTTGCTGGATGAAAATACTGCGTTCTGATTGGTGCATTTCCGAAGATGGATGGAAGATGGAAGCCTGGCATACGGCCAGGGTGTGCTTCGCCGTGTCTTGCGGCTCCGGGCAGTGGTGACAACCCGTGGTAGGCTTCCAATCCAGCGCAGGTACCGACCGAAGCACCCGTGCCCGGTCAGCACTCACATCATATGGAAAGTGAGCCCGCGTCCCCGCCTGTCTGCCATTTCTGGCAGACAGGAGCGGACGGCCTCGGCCGTTCGGATCCCGAATCCTTTGGGGTCAGCCAATATGGCTGACCACCGTTCCAGGACTCGGGATCTAGTCTGGGATTCCAAGGCCCTCAGGTCCCTGGCCGATGGACCTTCCCCCTTCTCGCGGAGGTCCTTCACCCTCCAATAGAGAGTGTGCCTTGATTCGCCAAGAAGCTCCATGGGGGAGGGGAGCTGGCCAGGGCCGTCACCGCCCTATACGAAATGGTGCGGTACCCCCGAATTGCCCTCACGACCACCGACCGCATCGCCTGTTGCAGGCGACTCTTGTTGCGGCCGGTGGCCATAAGTCCGGGCGCCCCGTAGAGGGCGATTGAGAGTACCACACCAATATAGAAGCGGCGCGCGTGCCATCCGGGGCCCTCTGGGTCCTTATCAGGCTGGCCAATGCCAGACCTGCTTTACGGACCCGAGGAGCCAGGCTCCTGAAATGGGCCACGAAATTCCAACGGCCGTCCAACGTCAGGCCCAGATACTTGACCCGACGCGGACGCAGACTCCATCCACCCAGACCCGGGACTCTGGTGACGCCCTCCGACGGGGACCATGAAAGTATATGGCCTCCGTCTTCTGGGCCCTTGATGGTGCCCTCGAGGGCCTGGGGATCCAAGGCCTCCGTCGGTGGGGGCGCCCACGGGCGGATCTTGCCGATCGCCCGTTTATAGGGGCGCCCCCACGGATTCTCATCCAAGGAGCTCACCATTTGCTCCCAGGCTCTCTGCTTAGCTTCGACGATGGCGGCCTTGAGGTCTTCCCTCGCTCGGAGATAGCCCTCTTTCTCCTTCGCGGCTTCCCCGCCATGTCGCCGGGCCCATGTATACGCCCGTTTGGCCTGGACGGAGGCCTCTCTCAACTCGGAGAAGGCCTCCGTCCACCAATAAGCGGGCCGGCGCCGGCGGGGGTGGGACCAGGGCATCGCAGCGTCGCAGGCCGACGCCACGATGCGCACCAGCTCCCTAGCCCCCTCCTGGGGGCTAGGGTCCCACATACTTAGCCCCGCAAGGTGCCAGGTGGCCACGAGGGCAGCCGCCTGGAACTTGTCCACGTCAAGTTGGTTGGTGGCCCACCTTATGAGGAGGGGAAAGTCCCCCTCCCCCGGGCGGCGGTCCAGCACCTGCGGAGGGGCGGGGAGACCAATGGACCACACTATATACCTATGGTCCGAGAGAGTTTCACTCTCGGTCTCCACCGACCACTCCCGGAACATCCGGCCGAGGCCGAGGGGGAGACCCACGTCAAATCAATGACGGACTCCCCCTTCGGCCGCACGCAAGTGCTGGTCGACTCCCTGTTCATTAACAGGAGACCGAGACCCGCCGCCCAATCGATCAGGGCCTCACCCCGGGACCCTCCTGCCGGGGATTGCAACTTCACTCCGTGGCGTGGGCGTTGAAATCCCCGGATATCACGACGGGTCGGGGGTGGCACCGACGAGCCACATCTCCGAGCTCATCGAGGATCTCCTTGACGTGGGCGAGTTCGCCCAGACCGACCCTATTCCTGCGGTGGGGGAGATAAACCCCCACCACAGTGATGGGCCTCCAATCAACTGCCACATAGGAGTCCCTCTTTTCCCTAAGTATACAGAGGGGGACTCCTCCACGGGACCGGCCATCATAGCTACGGACCCGCATCGGCTCCTGAACCAGCTAGTGCTGTTGATCGGGATCCAATGCGGCTCCGTTGTCAACCCCAGCCCGGCGCCCAGCTTGTTGATCCTGTTCACCCACAGGTCTTGAGCTTGGGCGCCGCGACCGAGATTGGCCTGTAGGACCCGGAGGGACGTGAAGACAAAACCGTTCACGCCTCCTCCGGGTGGTCTACTCTTTCCTCCTCAAGCGGGGTCCGTCGGAGTGAACTCAGAAACACCCGATTGTCTCCCCTCAGAGGGAGTGAGACTTGTCGGAGTGAAGAGTTCAATATCCGACTGATCCTTCTCCGAGGAGGTTTCGGCTATGATCCTAAGCCACAATCCTAAGCGTCTCTGCGGAGATACAGGGGGTCTCTACCTCCTTTCGGAAGTATGAGGGGGAGTCCATTGGGGGAGTCGGATGTGGCGCACCCTCCGGCTCCCTTTCAGCTACGGCAGTTGGGGGTGCGTCCTCGGACTCCACCCTCTTTACCCTTTCGTCCGGCCTGGCTTCGTAAAGGTCCTCTCCTTGGTCTTTCGCTGCTCTGTATTCTAGGGTCTCTAGGCTCGGCTAAAAGCGGCCTATGACCTCTCCTTCTTCTCTCTGGTATATACTTTTCGGGGTCATGTGTCGGAGTTAAGGCTCGTCTACAATAGCTGTAAGAGTAAGGCTGTAAGGCTGTAACGTAAGCTGTCAGCGAATGAAAATATTTCATTTCGTGTCTTGCAACCTTACAGCCTTAAGGCTCGTCTACATTAGCTGTAAGAGTAAGGCTGTAAGGTTGCAAGACACGAAATGAAATATTTTCATTCGCTGACAGCTTACGTTACAGCCTTACTTTTACATCTATTGTAGACGAGCCTTAACTTTTACAGCTAATGTAGACGAGCCTTGAGGCTCAGTTCCACAACTTGCTTTAAATGGAGTTTAAAGCGTAGTCTACAATGGCCGTAAGTAGTAAGAAGAAAGCGTGAACAGTAAGAAATGGACCAACTACAGTTGATTATTTTTGTCATAATCGACTGTGATTGGTTTATTTCTTACCGCTTACGCTTACTCTTTACTGCTTACTGCCATTGTAGACGACGCTTAAAGCAAGTTGTGGAACTGGGCCTTAGCAGTCTAGTTATACTTTTAGGCCTACCAACTTTATAACTAAAATCAGTTTCCGAAGCCGATTTTGAAATAGGCCTACAGGATGTTTCATTAGCAGTGATACCATTTCCAAATCACGAATAGGTATAACAGAGTGGTCATGTAATTATGTATCGATTTTGCTCAGTTTTCAACAATTACAGTCGCTTTATATTTTAGAAATATAAAATTGTTTATAACAATCACTCAAAATATTTATCATATTTTTATTCATACAAGCACGTGTCTTACTAAATGGAATAACTTGTATAATGTATTTAAAGCATGTTCATACAATTTAAAAATAACAGAACTTTGTTTACTTAACAATGCTACATTATTTTTAAATTAATAATATTACTAATAATATATTGATATACGAAATAGATATTGACGATGTATATTTACAGAAGATTTATTTTATAAAAGTTCCTAACCTTTTTTATATTAGCGATTACGAACCGGTTGCGATTAATGTAGAAGTATCTCAGAGCTAATTATATTTGTATTGAAATTTGTATTCAAATTAATATTAATAAATAAAATAAACATTTTCATAATAATAGCATATATAATTAATACTGCTTTATGATTTACAGATTAATTGCTAGTGTAATGCAACATTAAGTTTATAAGATGGAAAGAGCCTTGAAGAGATTGCTGCGGATATATCCAGTAGCGCGTAATTGGATAACTTTGTCAAATTATATGGCACCATTGCAATCTGTGCAGAATGTATCACAGATGTATAGCACTAATTTAACAGGTAATTAAATATTTCATATATTTTTGTGACATGTGAATGTTTTAAAAAATTATTTTTCAGATTGTTCACAATTGGAAGATGCTAATAGGTCATTGATGGGAAGAAATATGTACAATAATCTTAAAAAACTACAAGAACCTATAAAAATATTAGAATTAGCAGCAACAAATTATACAAACATGTCTCTGCATGATGCACTTAATACCTTAACTGCATTATTCAAAGTTTCTAAAATGAAGAATGACATATCTAGTACAAATCATTTAGGTTTTGTACGTTTGTGCGAAATATTAAATAGAGATATTAGACGCATGAAAATATTAGATGTCATTGAAAGTCTGAAAATACTTATATATTTTCAGACACAAAGCAATACACTCTTAATTCAGTCACTGTTACAAATGATTAGAGGAAACATAAATGAAATGTCTCTCAACAATATAATCTTTACAACTTTCTTATTAAATAAATTAGAAAGTACACCATTGAGAGATGCTTTATTGATAGCTCTGCCTATGGTATTTGAAACGCAATTACCAACAAAATTAGATACAGATGACCTGCCTCTACTGTTATGGTCATTAAGATTCATAATTGAATATAATATACAAAATTCAGATGTGTATGATATAATTTTCAAATCATTGTGGAAGCAAGAAAATAATTTAAATATATCAGCAGCCAAATCTATCTTCTACAGCTTGTGCCACATATCTGAATTATCTCCAATAGCTTGTGAACTTTTGTCTAAAGTACAAAATATTCTTATATCCATGGCAAAAGAATTAAATATTCAAGAAATAACAATGATATGTACAAAGTTATCAGTTATTGTTGTAAGGTATGTTATATGACTTTGTTATATATTGTGTATTATATTTTATATGATATTTTATATGTATTCTTGTTACAGCAACAGACATGGATCTATATTTTACAATGAGATATTTCTAGATGCTCTTGTTAATTCAGCATTATCTTCTAATATTAATTTTGTAAAAGGCATCTACATACTCAAAATATTAAATGATTTCAACCATGTACATATACCTTTCTTAGAGTATTTGGCAGCAAGATGCTTTGAAAATCAAAGTTTGTTGAAAGATATGACATTCCATAAGATGTCAATTTTCCTAGAAGGACTTGTTAACGCTGATTATAAGCCATTATTTTGGGATACTATTAAAGACACAATAATGGAGAATATCAAAATAGATAATGGACCTTATAATAGATTGTTTATTAGACTTGCTCTGCATCTGGTCGCGTTAGATTGTTACAGTTCAAATTTACTCAACTATGTCTTCTCTATATTTATAAGAAACAATGAACCATTGAGAGATGTGTATACTAGAGAAATATTACTTTTGTACCAAAGTGTTAAAACCTTGTATCCTATGTATAATGGATCATGGCCACAAGAACATTTACTTGAATATGCTAATACAATTAAATTGATACCACCTACATATTCTCTCCAACCAGGATTGGAACGAGCATTAGGTGGTCCACAGTATGTTCATAATAATTTAAGAACAAAACTTGGTCATTATATCGGTGAGTTATTATTAAGTATCTTTCTTTACGGTTAATAAGATACTCATAATTATGTTATTGAATGAACACAGATTAATGACAAATATCAGATATTTCTAAATATGTTTTAAATTAATACAGTTCAAGTGATTCAACGTGTCAATATAGCACGACGATTGTAACTTCGATTACTTACTTTACAATTATTTTTAATTCCTTTTAATAAAAACTTTTTTTTTTATAAGTTCTTTGTGAAAAACTTAATTATTTTTAATAGAGACGAATATTATGTTAATACGATTTTATCATTTTAGACCATGTGGTTGTGATGAGAAAAGGTGGATATCCTATTGCAATTAATATAGATAGTCCTAATAATAATGTTATCTACATTGAGGATTTACAAACTCCAAGTGAAAGTCAGATGTAAGGACGTTTTTAAAATTTATTCAATGTATTATTGCATTTGTATTTAATCGCTGACTCATTGCTAATGCGTATTTTGTGTTTCAGGATATTTATTTTCAATTTACCTGATACTGCATATGCTGTCAACTCACAAAGATTAAAAAGTACATGGGCGTTAAAAATAAAATCCATAGAAGCGCTAACGAAGTCCAATACAATTATTATAAATTCAAGTTGTTGGATGAAGCTTCCTGAACACGAAAGAATTCCCTATTTAATGCAAGCTATAAGGTTAAAATGTGATGATTTTTTAGTTTCAACGAATTAAATTTTGTGTCACGATTGATAATATAAATTGAACATAATTGATTAAAAAAATATGCTTATCAATGATACTGTTGTTGAAATATTTTTATAGATATGTATGATTCTGTATTAATAGTTGTAAATATTGTAAAATAATTGTATCTTAATCAGATATCCAGACTGACAGATAAAAGTCCATGCAATATAGAAAGTGTCTTGAAAAATATAAAATGAGAAACAAATTATTTATATTTAGTTATTAACGATTGTCGTAAGTTACTCTATTATTTTCCTTCAGTTTGCAAATTTAATTTTTAAATGCAGTTTTTCGTCATTAAGGTCTCCTCAAGATCTAAATATAATGCATTATGAAAAAAGGGTGTATATTCAACAAATTATCTATATAACAATTTATTCGTATGAAAATATTTATAATACATCAACAATGAAATGTATAATACTGGATTCTACGTATATGTTATATACCATCTGAACAGTTTTATAACAAAATGAAAGACGTGGAAATCCAGAAAGTTAGTATAATAAAAATATTTTGTATATACACGTTGAGACAATATGTATGTAGATAATAGATTAAATGTATATAGATATCACAAAAAAGAATATAAATTTTTGTGATCTTTCAACTAGTACAAGTTCATACAAACTTAATTTCCTACCAGTAAACTTCGTTAAGTGTCCTATAAGCAGCCATTTTGCTACCATTTAATAAAAAAGAACATTGTAAAAAGAAATAGGTATTGGGGAACTCAAATGAAGCGTTATATGCATTAAGAATGTAACTCCCATATAGCACCTACTAGCACCACTTTATCCGAAATTTTCAGATTCGACATCATTATCATTGATTCAAACCAAATAATTTCAGAGCATTAAAGGCTGTGGCCAGCGCAACTTCTTCTGGAGTAGTTCGCATAAACGCCGCCACCATTTCCACGATCGCTGGCAAGGCACATGGTTCGTTACGTTGAAAGGTACAGTAACGGTGGAGGAACGTCATAGATCGCTCGGTCAGAGCGTCCTTCACGTGTATTGGTAATTTACTGGCTCTGGTATTAGGATACATGAACGGTGCGTCGGTCTCGACTAAGATTCTATCTAACGGCGCTTGTCCTCCTTCTAGCAACTGCCTTATCCCACTGTCAGATTTGTCTTTGCATAAGTAACCTGTAATACCCAAGTAAAATCCTTGATCCAGGTAAATCTGCGCCTCCTCTGCAGTGCCGATGAAAGAGTGAATGAGGACAGGCGGCAGGCGATTCTTATATTCACCGAGAACCTCTAATACATCCTTCTGTGCTCCTCTTTCGTGTATAATCAATGGTTTATTCAACGTACAGGCTAATTCTATCTGCTTATGAAAGACAGCACGTTGCGTTTCCGGTGCAGAGAAATCACGACTGTAGTCTAAGCCACACTCGCCGATTGCGACGCATTCTGGATTGCTGGCTATGCTTTCCAATTCTTGCAAAGTATCTGGATCTTCCCACGACTTGGCGTCATGTGGGTGCACACCAGCGGTCGAATACAAAGTTCCGGGATATATTCTAGTTAGCCTCAGTGCTTCTTTGCTGGAACGAATACTCGCACCTGTCACCATGATCTTCTGTACGCCTGCATCTTTTGCCCTTTGTATCACGCTATCTAAATCCCGACTGTACTTTTTATTCGTAAGATTGGCACCAACGTCAACAATAATGTAATTTTCATAGCATTGGGTCATGGATGAGGGAGCAGCTTTCTCTTTTTCAGCCATTCCTTTTGCTTTTTATGTAACAATTAAACTGAAATAAAAAGAATACAATGAATATTGAGCTAAAATATTCAATTATCAACATTGTTTTATTTTTAGTGATAAATACATTATCACACCATTATAAACTTAAGACCAATTGTGCTCCTATTATGACACACTAACATTAGTGGCAATTGGGTGTGATGGACTATTTTTAGAAAGTACATGCATGCTCTTGAGAAATACAACTCAGACATATAGGCTAAATATAAATTCAATAGGTCCATCTACATTAATAACACGTCTCACATTTGAAACAAATGAGATATGTGCTTGCGCAGAAAATTTAAAAAACTATAAGATGATTACTTAATGGGAGATTTATGTATTGTTGTCAGACAAAATCCAATTACCGACATATAAATACCGATCAAATGCGCGCATTCTACCTAACAAGTCAATGATATATATCGTTATAAATGAGATAAATGCATAAGAAGTCATTGAATGTAAACGCTAAATTGGCAAACTGAAATCCGTTTAATAGATGTTTAAACGCTTAACCTATAAGCAAAAGTTAATCCATTAGGAACATATATATTTATGCCAAACAAATTGATAATTATTTAAAAAAAAAATGAAGGAAAAGCATTAAACAGATTAATACGGGCCCAATTACGGATCAATGCAGATAAAATGACAATGTCGAACTTGCCTTGATGTTAACCTCCAGAAGCGTACTCGCTTACGTACTAATCTTACTGCACGTGGTTGATCCAAATTTCTTAAACGGCGATCACGTTCTCAATCGCCGCACATAATTGTTAAACGCACAATCGTCGCGTACTTTAATATTACATTGCTGTACAAAAAAAAAATGTAATACACTCCAATCGACTTTGGTTTACTGTTGTTATTATTATGGCAGGTTCGTCAATTGAGAACTTCTTCTTAAGCCCTAAACACAATGCCAGGTAACAGGCAATAAGAATAAAAATTGACCAATCACAATAGATTATTCTTGTAATAGTCGAATGTGATTGGTCTATTTTTATTCTTATTGCCTGTTGCCTGGCATTGTACAAGGGGCCTTAAGCCAGCGGCACACGGTGCTTGTTTTTGTGTTGGATTGCTTACTGGATGAAAATACTGCATTCTGATTGGTGCATTTCCATTCATCTTCGGAAATGCACCAATCAGAATGCAATATTTCATCCAGCAAGCAATCCAGCACGAAAACAAGCACCGTGTGCCGTTGGCTTTATTCTTCTTCTTTTTGATAACTGACTATTGGATTCGTTTTTTCAGCTGAACTAAGGTCGGTGCACACAGGACGCGGCACGTTCGCCGCGCGATGGAAGTTGACTAGGAAATATTGCGGTAGCCATTCAGCATCTTGCTTGCCCGGAAGTGTATTTACGAAACATGCGGCGGTGGGACGTTGACTGGCTGAATTTTTAGGACACCTAACTTTTCTTCTAGGCACCTTAGAAATTCTCTATCTGACAGCCAATCGGAACGTCCGACAAGTTTGTCGTATGACGCATGTAATGTTAAGGTCATTCTACAATATGGCTGCGTTCCGATATTCACTGTCAGCACTAAAAATCTATAGTATACGTGACGCAAACTATGTATTTTCAGTACTGGCAGTGAATATCGGAACGCAGCCTATGTGTCGTAAGTTGTAAGCCGTAAGAATTGACCAATTATGGCCGATTATTTTTATAATTGATTGTGATTCGCCAATTCGTACGGCTTACAACTTACAACACGTATTGTAGAATGACCTTTCACGTAAATCGCATGTAAAGCCAGCGGCACACGGTGCTTGTTTTCGTGCTGGATTGCTTGCTGGATGAAAATATTGCGTTGTGATTGGTACATTTCCGAAAATGGATGGAAATGCACCAATCAGAACGCAGTATTTTCATCCAGCAAGCAATCCAGCACGAAAACAAGCACTGTGTGCCGCTGACTTAATTTAAGAACTCCCAGTGTGCTCCAGGCTTTAAATATCACACGCGGTCGCGTTCATGTTTACATTGTAAGTTTACGAGTGAAATAAGAAACCAATTAAACAGTATGAATTTTCAAATATGATATTAAAGACGATAAAAATAAATCATTCACTTTCTAAATGGTTTTATTGTTGCAAATACTTTAGACTTTAATCTGTAAATATATGGTGATGTAAATTGAAAATGATGTGAGAATAATTGGTTAGGCGATTCAACGAATGAATGAAAGTACTCTAATAGGATTTTGATTACATCTTTTGTTTAATTGCGAAATTATTTACTTATAGTTGTTCTATTGTTATAGTATACAATAAGATACTGTGTACGAAATATTGCATGTGCGTAATTGAGCAACATTCAAACCAATAGGCGGGAAACTTAGAATTTGAATCAATCATGAAGGTCGGTCTCTAAACATAATCTGAATATTCTCACAAACTCTGATCTTAATTATCTTAGACATCCCACTTTTTGTGCAGAGAAGAGCCAGAAAAACAAGACGTCAGATTTTGGCAGAGAAGACAGCAGCGCAGCAGCTGCTGATCAATAAGGCAAATGCATTAATGAATCCTTTGGATATTCTACCAGAATTCCATGAATATGTCACCAAGGATGATGTGATAAAAATATCTTGTATCAGAGCTAAGAATGCACAACCAGAATGTCGTTCTTGGATATTCGATATCACAGAGAGAAACGTGAAGGATATGTACAAACAATCTAGTTGGGGCTGGGATGCAGCTGAGAAACAAGCAGAATTGACAGAGGAAACAGCTTGGTATCTGATAGCATCGCGTGATGATAAGTTTTTAGGATTTTCACATTTCCGATTTGATATCGATCATGGTGATGTAGTATTATATTGGTATGTATGTGTGTGTAAGGTAGTCAGAAATAAAACTGTGTGTATGTGTGTGTGTGGAAAAGAAATTAAGTATTTACATGTATAGCTATGAGTTACAATTGGAACCATCGATCAGGCGCAGAGGACTCGGCCGTTTTATGATGTCAGCCTTGGAATCTATGGCAAGTCGGAATCAGATGCAGAAAGTTGTCTTAACTGTTTTCGCGCACAATCCGACGGCGATACAATTCTTTTTCGCACTTGGGTAAGAACTCAACAAGTACTACAAATATCTTAGCATTGTAATCTTAGCATTGACATCATTAGTAATATTACTAATCGATATTAATTGTTAAAAGTCCTTGTGCTACATGGTACATATAAAGTAAGCTTCATAAAATCATTCACCTTAGAATTGTACAATATTTCTAATAGTTTATGTATAATGTAGTACGAAAGCACATAAAATTGTTGTGCAATCGAGTCTACATGGTCTGTAATTGACTAGTATTAAAGTATTTATCTTGATAAAGTAATTTTATTACATTGGTCCGTATTCTCACTCAATTTACTGAGTTGAAACATGACTATTATTCCGTATCTCACGTCTATGTTAATGTGAATTTCATGATGAGATAAACAGAAGACTCGAAAATTTATTAAGTATATAGTGAGAATACGTGCCGTTCGTTTTGCTTATTCACAATATATTCAATCACCTTAAAGTTTTAGTAGTATCTTGAGTCTTAGTGGAGCACCTATTTAGTACCAAGAAAATACTTTCTCAAAACTAAATGCACATACGGAAAATATTAGAATATTATATTCTTTATTACATACCTCCCAATTGAAAGATTTATCTAACACATTTACTGAATCACAGGAATCACTCTGTAAAGAGTGATATCTACACAATTAATATAAACGAAAGAAATTACATCATACATGAATGGCAGTAAAAATAAAATTAATTAATAGAAAAAGAATGATTACAGACAAATAATAATTTCGTTTTTCAATTTCCCATTATTTTAATAGGTGATAATTATTAACGCACGAGGTAGACTAAAATTATGCTATTATTTACTTCTATATTGCATTTTGCTATAAGACCTATTGAATATATTTGACAACAAAAATAATTAGTGGATTAGATTACAACTTACTAAAATTTCAGAAACACACGCACACACATACCACATACACGCGCGCGTGCGCGTACATACACATATACACATTTTAAATACACATCACATGTGTTACTTTTAAGGAAGGTGGATCTTTCGTTTCGTACAGTTTGACTGCGTTTGAGTTTTAACATAACTACACGCATACCCCAAATATGTAACTGCATTTGAATTACATAACTTACTACATATGTACAGGGTGTCCCACTTTAACTTTCCACCCTAATAATTCGAAAACTTGACATTTTGATAAAAAAATGTTTCAAATAAAAGTTGTAAGGTTGGAAGGGGGACATTTGATGGTGACCTTAGTTTAATCTTGGATTAAAGTCATATGGTTCTGCCAAGGTTAACTTAGTTTTTTCAAAGACGAATCCCCATGTTTTCCAACGAATTTTGATTTTCTGACAAAAAACAAGCAATTTTTGTTTCTACAAATCTTATTTGATTGCCTGCTTATGCTTGCTATTTGACTTTAAAGTTTTCAAATTTTTGTCAACCAAAATCCAATGTATAACTTTAACGTGAACAACAAAATATCTCGGAAATTAAAATTAATCTTAATCCAAGGTTAAACCAAGGTCACTATCAAATGTCCCCCTCTGAACGCTATAACTTTTATTTGAAACTTTTGTTATCAAAATGCCATGTTTTCGTGTTATTGAGGTGTGAAAGTTAAAGTGGGACACACTGCATATATGTGTGTTGGATGTAAAATTATGTAAGTGAGATTTTCGATTAAGATAATCCAAATAATGAATTGCACTTAATACTGTTGCAGATACAAATTAGACCATACGAGCCCACCCGCTTCGGCGAAATTGGATTACATGATCTTGAGTAAACAAAATTTACGCGGATAAATAGAAAGCAATACTCACCTACGACAAAATATTTTCTTCCCGATTAAGATTGCGTCTTGTGAAACAAGATCGGTAGTATTTGATGTGGGCACAAGTTTATAACGGGCGACTTCAGAGAGGGTCCGACATTGTGGAACGTTAGGGGAGCTTTGCTTATAGTCCAGTCTTCCATGTCATTGAGAAATTTCGTCAAGTCGATCTCGCCTGATTCCGAGACGTTAAAACGCCGCAAGAGAGGATTGTTGAAGCATGTGTCTAAGGCGGGTTGATGCAATACCATACCGATACCTTTACCGGCACCCTCAGGTATAGGAAACACTCGAAGACTAATGATACTTAAGTCTACTGGAAGATCGTATCGAAGCGGTGAAAAGTGCGCGTGCAGGTCGAATGGCAGAGAATTGTGAGGATGCAATGCTACCACTGGATGTAGTAGCTCTTCTAAAGCCAAGTGATTGCTCAAGGACAACAATCCTGCAGGATGATTTGCTGGTGGTACTGCGGAGGGACAATTTGTCTCCCTCTTTTCCAAAATTAACGTGAACATATGGTTTGTTAGCAAGTTGTCCATTACACCTTGTCCCAATCCTCGATTGTCATCTTGAAGTAATCTTCTATCTTGCATAATCTATTTGTAAAACTATTTGTAGAATCTACTGTCTATTGCGTATAATTTATTTATAAGAATTTTTAAGAATGTGTAATTTTTAAAAGTGTATATTACACTTGATCTGTCTCAATAAATTTTCTTAAAAAAGCGTGTCACACATGAAGAATTATTTTATCAATTTTTTGTTACATGTTAACTTGTTAACATTTAAGGTGAATGTTCCAATTAGCGATATTGTCCCAATTTTCTCTTGTTTCCTTTGTTCCTTAATAAATCAGCTAATAGAAATCCATAATTATTCTAAATATCCAGTTCTTACTTTATCTCTTTAAACTTATTTTATATATTCCCGATTATATTAAATTTCGAATAAAATGAAAAGCTCTAATAAATGTTGGACCATCATAGTTACAAATGTACTACTGACTGCGACAGTTCGAACAGTTATTCGCCGACATCTTAAAAGTTAATATAAAATGTCTAATTGTTAGATCTGCAGTTATTTTTCAATTTTCTTAAAACTAAACTCGGTAAAAAATAGAACCAAGAACTAAATTACCATGTTACTAAATGGTACTTCAATCATTTTCGTGAAGATATAAATTAAATATTTTCCAGAAATATAACATAATCGTGATAAACGTTCAAAACTTTCCAACAAAATCAACTTTATGTACTTGGCTTAACACGTGTATTATTAATTTACTAATTTATTTCCATGGTGAGATTACTCGGCCACTAATTAGAACATTCATTTTATGTGATGTATGGTATTAAGTAAAATCTATTGACTTACTTCAAGCTGACCAGATGCCATAGAGGCTACACCTAATGGCTGTGCTGTAGTGACTGTTAATCTAACTCTCTTATCCTCTATGTATGCACTTGCTGCCATCGGATAGTAATTACCTTGCGTAGGAAGCTTGGGGAATCTCTGTCTTCTGATCATCTGAAATCACCGAGCAAAAGATGCATTTCGCAACACTGCTACATATTGGTAGAAAATACAACAGTCCTAGCCAGATACAACGTCAAAGAATTCTGAGTTTGCTCTATCAGAATATTTACATTGAGTCCGTTTAAATCGGTGAAGAACTGGTCGCCGGATGCGATGTCCGTATTCAGGCGCATCGCGAGTTCATAGTTTTGTGTCTCGGCTATATCAACTTCATTGAGTATATGTAACCCAAGTCCATCGCTGCCGGGCGAGTTGAACAGCGTACAAGTGTGCCGCACGTGCGACAGTTCTACAAATACTTTTGACAGAATAGGGCCGGTTACTAAGTGAACGATTGTTCTGCTGTCTACGAATACCAAATCTGGTTCCGGTTTGTCGGGCAGGAATAGATAAGCGCCGCTCTTGTCTTTGCCGGAGCCCCTGGTGCCGTATTTTACGAAGTCTAAGTGTACAGGGAACGTGGTGTTGCCGACTTTCAGCGCCTTCAACAGACCGGATTTGCCGAAAGAAGCGGATAACTCTGGTAGCTGAGTGATTGAGAATTCTTGCGTATGTGGTAAAACGGTCAAATGACTGAAACCGGGTACTGATGGAAGGCTACTGATGTCGGTGTTGAAGATAGTAACGTTGGCGGGAAACACTTCTCTGTTTTTAGAGGAAAGATACGTGAATTCGGTACCTTGGAGTACCCTTGGAGTTTTGCATTGAATCTTGTGTATGATAATCACTTCAATATGTACAAATGATACTTTGCATTATATGTAAAAATCATTACATTTACCTGGCATATGATGCTTTGTGTAAAGCGTGAACCACGTATGTAGTGATTCCAAATCCTGGTACACTGGCTAAAAAGGACAGTTCGTATCTAGCCGCGGACAATGCAGCTGGACCGATCCAGACAGGCGACACTTGACACCTGACAGTCTGCCCTCTTCGATCTGTAACTTTGACAAATGGCGTCGACACGACCAAAATTTGCACTTTCGTTCTCTGCCTTGGTAGAGAATTGTAAAAAATGATTTTCCTTGAAGGACTGTCATCCCCGAGGCTGAGCACATGCTTTTCGCCTGCGCTAGTGTGGTGTAACCTTTAAAAAGTAATTACAAATATATGAAAAAATTATTATACATTATATCACCGTGTGTGATAAACTATTGATTGTCATGTGACATTTGTCTCCTCGCACCTAGTTTCGTCTAAAGAGAAGTACACAGCTTCTAAATCTATAGGTGAAATCTGTGGGGTTTTCAACAAGTGCGCTATGGACTGTTGAAGCACGTGAGCCGAGTTGTTCAATGCCGTGATCATCTTCTGGGCATAATCGATAACGACATTGTCTCTGGCAGTACCAGTGACTCCGTCGTGATGTTGAAACAGAGAATGCCACATCCTGGCTTTGCTCAGGCGAGACGCGAGGTTTCCTTCTACCAGTTGGTCATTTCCTTTAGTCCAAGCTATAGCAGCTAGTGCCTCCGAGCCTCTTAAAAAACCTAGCAGCACACGATCTAGTCGTTTATGGAAAGGCCTGGATAGATTGGAAGAAGATATCCTTTATTCCATGATCAAAACATGTTTGGAGCTTACATCTCACTTAAATGACATACCTGGAGGTATAATAGCCGCTCCAGTAATGATCATCTCTGTCGGAATATGTGAAGAAGTCGCCAGATAGAGTTGGAAATTCGTTCAAATTGCGTTTCTCTTTGACCGCGTCGAAATATTCGCTCAAGGTACCAAATTGTATTTGAACATTTAAGTGTTGATTTTCATTCATATAATTGAAAAGCTTCTGATAATTGTCGTACTGAGCTTCCCACTCGGTGAGATGCGTGTATCTGAAGTCATCGCCCAAAGGTGCTAGCACTACGTCGGTTTTAAAAAGCTGTGCCTTTTTACGGTATTGATCCAGTAGCAGTAATGCTCTTTCCGCCACGTTCGCTTTAGTTATCGTCTTCGGCGGAACCTTCCACGGACAGCTGAGACCAAAATTCTGCATCCTGTAGAAGTCAAATTGGCAACATACTTTCGGATCTGGTCCGCACGTATGCGGAACATCGTAGCTGTAAAACGGCATAGTGTGAGTAAACAGTTCTGTAGAACCGTCATTGTCCCATAATTGTCGCCAACGAAACTCAAGATTTTTGTCTCTGGCTAGTCTCTTCTTGACTGAATAATGAACTCTTTGTATTAAGAGGTTTTCCATGCCTGAACCTTTCAGAAGATATGGCATGGTAGAAGAGAGGCCGAAAGGGTCAATGGCCCATCCTGAATTCGGCGTATAATCCAAATTGTATTTTAGCCACTGGTGACCTTCAGTCAATTGTGTGAGTTGAGCTATCCAGTGAGACACGGATTCATCTGGCATTACCCATCCTCCCGACACAATCTCCAATTGACCATCGTGTATCAAGCGACGTACTTCATCTCTTATTGTTTTGGACTGGTCATCCCACCAGAGTTTAAAGAATGATATTTCTGCCCAAATAAACTTACGTCTTCTATCCTCACCTAGCTTGGTCACCATATTGTTCAATATGCTTCTTGTTTGGAAAGTATAATATTTTTCAAATGTGTTTAACCACCCAGGATCATTGTGTGAATGAGGTACAACAAAGACTTTCAATTTTCTGTTAGGATGCCATTGTTTCTCATCATATATAATATTCCAGCCTTGCTTCCATACTCCACCATCTGGATTATCAAATTCTAATTGTTTGTATAACTCCAACATCTGTATATCAACCTCTGGAACTTTCCGTATGTTAAAATTACATGTGAGGCTTTTTCCTGAACGTGGAATCACAATGTCAGAGTGATTTATATGACTGACCGATTGCACATTTGGTACAAAATTATATTTAGCTTTTGCTGCCTCCTGCAGATCATTCATGACCTTATGATGTTTGTCAAAATCCTTCTCTAATTTTGCAAGCCTGTTTTCAAAATGAAGCCACTGATTCTAAAAAAAAAATAAACCTGTTTTATATCGCACAATATGTAATTTCGAATCATAGATATATGTAACATATGTATGGTACTATATCCTGCTAAATAAACGTACATCATTAATGGAAAGCTTAAGCGGAATGAGTGTTGTATCTATAATTACATAGGCCAACATAACGCAGCCAACAAATGTGCATACTCCAAAAATGGCGATAGCCTTTCTAGCCCTCATTGTTATAGATTTTTGTTCGCACTATTCTTGTTAAACGGTTCACGATTGAGTTTATGTTAAAAGAAAAAGTCAAATTATCCGATCTTAACCTACTTCGTTTGTCGTCACAAACGACTACATGTTAAGAAACGTGTCTATCTTAAGTTTTCGATGAACACTTTCTGGACAAAATATTAAAATTATAAATTTCATAAATTTGATCTTTCTGGATTTTCGACGAAAGATCCTTTCGCCACTTGTATATCGCTTCTGGCGGTTTTATTTTACTGCAGCGATCACCGTTGTAGCACGTATGCATTAGTATCCATTTATGTAATTGCTTTTATTTTTTAATTACGTGTGCTATTTAACAGCCAGCCACGTTGGCAGCTGGATACTGCCATTCAGCAATAAACTCAAAACGTGACGTATATGTAACTGATAATTCAAATGTCACAATTAAAACGTAATCCACGTTTTTATTATGGAACAGACGCCGATAGGGACTCGAGTGCCGAGCAGTGCAGAGGTTCTCAAATTGCACCCCAACTTAGAAAGTTGGAGCGCATGTTTTCCTAAATTATAAATGATAATTTACGCACTGTTACTATTTTTCGTTTATTATTTATTACTTCTAAATATCCAGATAAGAGTTTACGCTTTTAATAAGACAGTGACACCAGGCAAACGCCAAGAATCAAGAGAACCTCACCTAATCGAAAATCGAACCTCGTTTGATTAGTTGGTTAATCGATTTTAACCTCATTTGGTCGAAATTTGAAAGTAATTCGGTCGATACTCGAAATTCATGGTCGATAATTGAGGTCGATATGGTCTATTAGGCCCCTTGCACAATGCCAGGCAACAAGCAATAAGAATAAAAATAGACCAATCACAATCAACTATTACAAAAATAATCTATTGTAATTGGTCTATTTTTATTCTTATTGCCTGTTGCCTGGCATTGTGCAAGGGGCTTAAGTCGTTGCGAATCATAAGGTCTGTTCTTTTTCACTGCACTGCTACACTGGTGCAATAAGTTAGAGTGAGACAAATATATATTTGTTTTACTCTAACTTATTGCATCAGTGCAGCAGTGCAGCGAAAAAGACCAGGCCTATAGACTTAAGCGTGGTCTACAATGGCCGTAAGCAGTAAGAAGAAAGCGTAAGTGGTAAGAAATAAACCAATCACAGTCGATTATGACAAAAATTATCAACTGTGGTTGGTCCATTTCTTAAGCCAGCGGCACACGGTGCTGGTTTTCGTGCTGGATGAAAATACTGCGTTTTGATTGGCGCATTTCCATCCATCTTCGAAAATATACCAATCAAAACGCAGTATTTTCATCCAGCAAGCAATCCAGCACAAAAACAAGCACCGTGTGCCGCTGGCCTTATTGCTTCACGCTTTTTTCTTACTGCTTAAGGCCATTGTACGTACAAAAGTTTTAGTCGTAACCGTAAGTCCGTAAGCAAATTGACCAATCACAATTCGTATATTTCGAGATGCTGGATTGTGATTGGTCAATTTGCTTACGGTCTTAAGGTTACGACTAAAATTTTTTTACGTGCAATGGCCTTTACGGCCATTGTAGACCATGCTTTATGTTTTAAAATGGAAGCTGGAAGGTATTCATACACATACACACGGCAATACTTATGCACTGCTCATATATATGTTAATACTAATGCATTGTTCGCGCGAACGCAAGGCAGGAAGGTTAGGTCATATAGACTGCACCATAGTGCAGCTGGGCTACACTTTCCGTGTTATCTGCACCAAAGCATATTTTGCCACGCAGACATCATGGGTCTGTTCTTTATAGCTGCACTGTTGAACTAGTGTAATAAAGCCAGAGGTACGGTCGCGGATATAAAGGTTGTCACTTTTTTTTAATAACTTTCGGGACGCATCCCGACTCGAGAAAGATGAGAGCTGCTGCTTCGCCTGCGGAGCACGCCTGCGCACAACGAAAGGCGAGAAATGAAATATACGTGGTATGACATAAGTATGTCAACAATGGTTGCGTTCAGAAAACAAAGAGCTCACTGAACGCTTAGTAACTATTGGCCGCGTTCAGTAGAACAAAGTGATCAGAGAGCGCTTAGTGATTATTATCTGTGATTGGAGCATTCTTTTAGATTCTTCATAGACCTAGAAGTATTTACCAATGAGGAGCGAGATTCAGTGGAAAATCTAGTAATGTTGTCCAACTGTTGAGTCTGCTGAATGCAGCCATTAGTCCTTACTGCTAGATCCTTACATTCAGACCAATAACGTTGACGAATTACTCAACCGTTATGTAACCGTTGTGTTTTCTGAACGCAGCCAATCATTGGTCGCAAAGATGAATGGAATCATTGGTACATTTCCGAAAATGGATGGAAATACACCAATCAGAACGCAGTATTTTCATCCAGCAAGCAATCCAGCACGAAAACAAGCACCGTATGCCGCTGGCTTTACTCTCCCCCGCCACTATCAGATGGCACAGAAAAATGAAGTTTACTTTCATTAGATTGTATAAATTCTATGATATTTCCCGTTACGTTTCTGTTATGTCAGGAAATTTCAGCGTGAGAGTTCATTTTGTAGTATTTATTGTAGTATTGCATTGTTGAAAGAAAAGAAAAGATAGAAGAAGGAAAAGGATCTTTTAAAGACAACAAAGATATATATATATACAGGTTTTTATATATTAAAAGAAAAAATTTTGTAAGATAGAGCAATAAATATTAGTCAATAATATACATATTAATCTATAACTGTTTAACAGCATGAGTCACAAAAAGTGTGCTGTTATTAATTGTGCGGAACGAAATAAACGGATGTTTGCATTTCCTAATCCAATTAAGGATAAAAAACGGTTTTTACAATGGATATCAGCAAATGGAGATCCATCATTGATGACCATTCTTCCGAAAAAAATAATGAAAAGGACAAACAGGTGAAAACCATTTTAAGGATAATTTTAAATTAAAAAAACGATTGAGTACATATGCTATACCAACATTATTGCTGCCAGGTATTTGTATAAGATATACAAGATGATGAACAGTTATCGTACCAATATTTACATATAAATAGAGTATTTCTAACTGAATAGAATAGTTATAATATTTCACAAAGAAACATAGTAATTACTAAGATATTAGTAATAGAAAATTAGTAAATAACAGCATGTAATGAAATAGGACAATCTCTGTAAGATTCTAGACACCTTTCTCTTGGGATAATATTATACATCTTGTCCAACTGTATTTCATGTGATTATTATAGGCGATTTCTTTAATTAATAATTTAAAGTTTATATACTTATTTATACAATAATAGAGGACTTTCTTATTTAATAATATCTATAATCAGTACATACATTAATTATGAGATATTTTATATGTATATACAGGGTGTTTGATAGCTGATCATGCAGACGAAAGTTGGAGATAGATTGGGTGTAACCGAGAAGAAAAGTCATGTACCATAATGTCAAATTGGCAATAGTTACCGAGTTATTAATTAAAACATGTGAGCTAACGAGCGCGTAGAGAGCGGAGGGCGGCCGCAGTAAGCACGTAGACATTTGATACAGGCGGAGTCAGTGAGTGGCGGTAGGCAAGCGCGCGCGACGAGGGGCAACGTAAGCGACAAGAGGCGATCGCACGCGACGAGGAGCGAGCGAGCTTTTTCTTTATAGCTTTTTCCTTATAGCTCGCTCACTCCTCGTCGTTCGCGTTCGCTCGCTCTTCGTCGCACTCGCTCGCCTCTTGTCGCTTGCGCTCGCTCGCTCCTCGTCGCGCGCGTTCGCCTCTTGTTATTTACGTTGCCCCTCGCCGCGCGCTCTTGCCTACCGCCACTCACTGACTCCGCCTGTATCAAATGTCTACGTGCTTACTGCGGTCGCCCTCCGCTCTCTACGCGCTCGTTGGCTCACATGTTTTAACCGTTTGAATCCCAGGGGGTATTGAAAAAACACTGTCGAAGAATCCCAAACAGCGCAACCGCGCTTTCTATAAATGAGTATGAAAAGACCCAAGCAGCGCGATAGCGCTTGTTTTATTTTAGGTCGAGAAATACCAAGCAGCGTGATAGCGCTTTGTTTATTTTACATCGATGAATCCCAATCGGACCAATACCGCTTCTTGTATTTGTTAGGTAACGCGATTCTCGTCTTTTTCTCATCGCTCTGTCACATTTATTGTAGTTTGCAAAGCGATCGGACGTATTCTTGCGTAAGTGTTTCTCATTGTTAATAATTGTGTGTTTCAAAATGATTAGACGAAGCAACGGAGCAACGAAGCAAAAGGAATCCATCCAACATGTTTTGATAAACACCGATGTTACAAATTATAATTGTTACTCTCTATTTAAATTATTTGTTCATAACACAAAAATATTGTTAATTTGTAATTCGTTATTTTATAAAATACATCTGTATTATTACATATGCGTACTGTAAATTTATAAATATTTCAAGTTTTGTTCGATAAAAATTATTGAGAAGATAACAATGAAATAAAAATTTTTATTTTGTAATGTATTATTGCATTATTATAGTATTATTCTACCTATTATAAAATGTACTATTTACATTAAAAGGATCGGTGTGATATACTTGCTTCAGTAAATCTGAGCGCGCGACTTCGACAATCGGTAACGCACCGTCAGTTGTCCACAATGATCGAAATGTACTGGGTTTTCTCGACATAAAATCTGAACAGCGCGATCGCGCTGCTTGGGACTCAAACGGTTAATTAATAACTCGGTAACTATTGCCAATTTGACATTATGGTACATGACTTTTCTTCTCGGCTACACCCAATCTATCTCCAACTTTCGTCTGCATGATCAGCTATCAAACACCCTGTATATGTTTTATATATACTTTTAGTTTTGATAGGTGAAGTTAATTAAATTTTATTAATAATAAAGGAAGATATTTCAATGCTACATAATAATTAAAAAAAAAAGTTGTATGTTATCAAATTTGTTTTCAGAGCCAATTAACATTGACGAACACGAAGTAGCATGTTTAAATACAAATGAGAATACTATTACAAATTTATTAGAAAGTAAGTACTAAATATTTAATAAATAAGTAATGAAAATAAAGTACAACATATATAATAATTTGATAGTTTATATAATTTAAATATAAATAATATTTTAAAAATTTATATTAATATATTTTCACAGATGATCTACAAGCACCAAATATTACAGAATGCAATGATTATGACAATATCAGAGGTACATAGTCAAAATTTATATAGATTTCAATGAATGCTGCAAAAAAAATTATACCTTAATTATATATATAATGTTATGTGAAATAGATATCTCTACATGTTCAGGAGAAGAGGTGGCAGAAACAAGAATAGATAGAAATGAAGAGAATCCTGTATCTATGCCGATAATAAAGGAAAGAAAAAGAAAAGCGAAAGGTATGATATATATAATCACAATAAAAATAATTATCTACAATAGTTTTAACAAAGATATGATCATATACATAAAATGTATTGGTCATATTTCTATTTTAACGAAAGACAGAAATCTATATATATACATATATATATACATGAATATTTACATGCACATATATATATATATGTGGTAAATATATTGTGTATATATATGTGTTTACATACGTATAGTGTGTCTGACCGCAACTACGACTAAATTCTTGTAGTTCCCGTCAAACATCCTTAACGCATAATATGTATCGTAATACAGAAAAAAAGTAAGGAGATATATGAATATATAATATATTTATTACTATTTATTATTTATTACTATTTTTAGTGCAACTGTATTATTAGTTTATAATGCAGTCAATTTAAATATCTTCGTTAATAAAAGAAGTATCAAAAATACAAAGGAACTTGTATTACCTTAAAATATTTGTACCTAACTACTCATTTCTTTACCAACCCAGAAATCATTTTACCAACGTACAATTCATTTCCTTGTCCTACATGTCTACTTCTAATCCAGTGAGAAATAACTTATCAAGTGACGTCAAAACGATGCCAAATCAGTGTCGATTTCATGGTTTGGACTTCGATCAAAGAGTCATTTCTTGCTGGGAAACCTCCTAAACTTTTAAATCTTGAATCCATTCATGTTCCAGTTTCTATCTTTAACTTATTTGCTATTCGCAAGAAGAAGCATCTTAATCCTCAAGATCTGAAAATATATAATACAATAGCATCACTGAGAAAAGTAGTTTTGCGCATTACTACTAGGAAGAACAATTTAAAGCATAGATTGCAGAAAGCAAACAGATTTTTGAAAGAAAAATCATTCGCTACTTTAGATGAAATGCCAACATCCGCTAAAGACTTTTTTATATCATATTTAAGAAATATGAATAGAAATAAATATAAAAGAGAATATACGTTACAAGATACAATACATTACAAGATACAATTGCACTGTCACTTTATAAAAAAAGTCTTAAAGCTTACAAATATATGGCACAAATATTTTATCTACCTAGTAAGGAAACATTAAGAAAATTGTTACAAAATATTATATTAAAACCAGGTATTTGTGATATAATTTTTGATGAAATAAAAGCTCGTGTAGAATCATTCACAGATGAAAAATACAAATATTGCGTATTACTTTTCGACGAAATGAAACTGGATGCTGCATTATTGTATAACCCAACTGCAGATTTTGTTGAAGGTTTTATTGATGATGGCGATGAGAGAAAATTGAAAATAGCTGATCATGTGTTAGTTTGGATGTTAAAAGGAATTTATGGCAGCAAACCATGGAAACAACCAATTATGTTTTCATTTTGTAAAGATTCTACACCATCAAATAATATTGTACATGTTTAAAAAAATTGTAATCAAAGCACATGACGCAGGATTAAGAATTGTCGCTTCAGTATGTGTACAAGGCAGTAGTAACGTAAAAGCTATACAACAACAACTGATACTGGATTCCAAACAAGAAGCTTTTTCTAATAATGTATTTTTGGAGCACGATGTAATAATTATAAGAAATCATCAAATTATTCCATTATATGATCCACCACATTTATTAAAATGCATACGCAATAATTTAATAACTAAAAATTTACGGTACAAATTAAAAGATGGCAAAGAATAAATAGCAAAATGATCACACGTGGAAGATGCTTATGAAATTGATTGCAACAATGGCCATTTCCGAACAATGCGTAAATTAATAGTTTGTCATGTTGTACGTAATAAAATTAAGAAAATGAAAGTCTCGTACTGTGCGCAAATGTTTGGCAATAATGTATCAAGTATCATAGCATTAATGAGTAGAAGTCAAAGCAAGAATCTTACTTTAAATAAGTCTATGTCACCTGAAGGTATTGAAACTGCTGAGTTATTGTTTTTTTTAACGGATTATTTGACAGTGTAAATGGTAGTATACGATTGAATGATGATGCACATGAACAATTATGAACGGATGCTATGTCTACATTTAAAAGTATGGAATTTATTAAAAATAAATCTCATGATCGGAAAACTCCAATAGTTTTAAAAAATTGGATACATACACTACAAGGTTTCAAATTATTAAGTGAATATTTACGTGAAAATAATTTTACAACTTTTGTAACTAAAACATTCAATCAAGATGCTCTTGAAAATTTTTTTAGGCAGATCCGGCAACACGGTGGACAAAATACTAACCTTACATGTAGTACATTTGTAGGATATTACAAAAGTTTATTAATAAATACATATACTGATATGTCCACAATATTTGGAAATTGCGAGCCAGATAATACATCTGGATATTTATTAAACTTAAAAAAACTTTTAACTTTTTCATTGACTGAAAATAAAACTTTAAATTATCAAATTACTTTGCCAAAGGTAATACCAATAATGGATGATATAAATATTAGTATTGCCAATATATCAACTTATATTATAAAAAATATAAGTTCCATGTATGAAAAGAATTGTGAGACGTGCCGTATAAATGTAACAACCTTACAACAAAATGAAACTTTTACAATTGGCATTACGAAAATTGTAAGCATTACTTATTATTACTTGCCAATAATTTCTCACTTTCTGCAATTTTCTAGATACATTAAAGAAATTGTAATAAATTATATAGATTTTCAGTTCTTAGAATGTAATCATGTTGCATTGTTAACACAAATAATCGCACATAAAAGGAGAGAATCATCAAACATTATTTTGAAGATATTAGAAAAATATTAAAAGGTACGTTACATCCTAATTGTAACGATGCTCTTATGATAACTGCAAATGATTATTTTATGAAACATAGGAAATATATGAATTTTGTAATGTAAAATATAATAATCTAATATGTATAATATATGGTTTTGCACATTATAGTGGACTGGACGAAGTAGTTCCGTTGAATACAAATGTTTTTTTGTTTTAATTTCTTATATATATATATTTATTTATATATTTATATATTTATTTATTTACCATCAATCTTACCTTCTTATATACTTATATTTAATAATTATGAAAAGTTGCTAAATTATATTTTTAATATATCCATCTTAGAAATAATAATGTATTAGCAAGTTCAAATGACATATTGACAATGTATAATTGACGACAATTAATTATTAATACGTCATCATGTTTGCTGGGATCAAATTAATATATTTTTTTACAAAATTATTATAACTTGTCATTTTGTAAAATTCATTTTTTAAAAATTATCAAGTCATTTATTAAAAAATTCATCATATGCTCGTTGAACAAAAAGCTAATTTTGTATCAAGTTACATTAGCATTATTAAACATAAACATGTATTTTATACAAAAATATAAAACAACTTTATTTTTAGTAGTTTAATTATATTAAGAGCAAATATCCTTACATCAATTATATGTTGGCATATGGTTATACATTACAATTATATAAATATATAATTGATGTAAGAATATTTTTTCTTAATACTTAAAATAAGAAATACAGTTTTACATTAAAATTATAATGCAGAAAAATACCATTTTAATTTTGCGGGAAAGCCGCCATATTGATTTAATTCGCCCCCGCCACTATCAGATAGCGCTTTACAATGTCCTCATCAACTATATACGAGCTTGCCCGCCCTGATCATACCTATTCTGAATCTGGTTTACTCGAGTTTCCTATCTTGAAACCTATCTTGAAAGTCACGAGTCATTATACTGCGCGAGATTCTGCTTTCCCTTCGCACACGCATTTACACGCGAGTGTTCCGAATCGTTTAGTGTGAGACGTGTCATTGCATGTCATTGCGAGATTTTCTCCAGCGTAACCCTAACACATCGTGACGACAGCTATTCTTGTATCTTTCAAGAACTTGGTTCGCGGAAATCAAACATGGCTTCTTGGATGCGAACATGACTCGATAAAAATGAGCTGGAATAAGCAAGTTGTCGCTGATTCAACCGTGCGCATGATATCGCACTGTTCCAGATTCGACGCTGTCGAGCACAGCTAGTAAACTCTGTCATTCATTTTCGGTGCGAGATATCGGTACGGAGACACCATGGCTGACGAGTGCAAACCCGACACGGAGGACAATCCAAAGATGCGATTACCCTGTAGGGACCTGGGCTTTCGTCCTCAAAAAGAGATTGTATACAACAAGTTCTTGCCCTACGCGGATGAGATCGACGCGGAGTCGCAGATAATGTTCGCCGAGATCAAGGAAAATCTCGGACGTGCAGTTATGCTCCGTGAGATCAAGCCAGGATGCTGTCTGTGGTCTAGTAGATTACGCAAGTATGTAGTAATTATCTTTGTTTTTGCTTTAATTAAATTCCTTTTTAATGATAATATATTATATATATCTTATGTGTGTGTGTATGTGTGTCATATATTGAATCATACAAAATATTTTTCAGCTATTTATACATATACGGAATGAAGTTCAGCAAAGAAGATCATATAATATTGATAAAATTAATGTACGAGCTTGTTACTATACCAAATTTGGAGCCAGAGCTCGTTAATAAATTTAGTTCTGTATTACTTTCATTATTAAGGTAAATAGAATATTAATTAAGGAGTTGCTTATTAAATTCATATGTTGGATATTTTGGAATATGCTTGGAAAGTTCTACAATACTGATGTACAACTGTTAGTTAAAGGTCATCTTGATATCATAAGTTGTGTCTGGAAAATCTATTTCATGAGAGAATGAACTCAATTCGGATCAGAACAAAACTAAACATGTAATTGATTTTATTTTTTGAACAAAAACAACATGATTGATATAAATGGAATATTGATGATATTGCAATGATATAGCAATTTGTGTACACTGAAATGAATTTGTGATAAAGGTTTAATCAAAATACTTTCCTGCTGCTGTAAAATTATTATTTCATGGAATAGAATTTATGTGATGTAGCTAAGCTACATCAGACAATTAGTTTGATGTAATTTCTCTTCTTTCAGAAAAAAAGAATTAATTAGTCCTGATGATTTAGAACTTCCATGGAGACCTTTATATAATTTAATGCATCCTATAAAGGGGAACTCATTAATCTCATTAGGAATACGTCGTCAGCCACCATGGTTGAGAAATATATTGCGTTTCTTGATCCGTTCTGCAAAGGTTTATTTCCCTGTAAGGATTACTTTTTTAAAAGAAGAAGCGTCCCCAGATTCAGCATATGACTAATTCTGTATTTATAAATGTTATTGTGACAGTTGAGTACTACACAAGAAATATTAGATGAATTAAGGCCAACATTCTGTCCGTTTGATAGAATGACAATGTGTGCGAGCCTTCTGACTTTAGAGTGTTTTTTACCATTTCAATTACCTCCAAAGTATCATTCCATCGGACATCAGTTGTGGCTCGACGAATTTATGACTATGTGGAAAGTGTGTCATAATGCACCACAATGGGAAAACGATATGATGTGGATAATGGCAAGATTAGCAGTATGTAATATTGGGTATATTAACTGGGAACAGTATTTTCCCTTAATGTTCACCAGATTCGTACGATGTTTAAATTTACCAGTAACATATAAGCAAATGCATAACAGCAGAAACCACAAGATAGAAGTACCACCGATAGCTATGTGGATTGTAGCAGTTTTGGTAAGATCACATGTTATTTCATCATGAATATGTGGAATATTAAGTAAAGTATATTAAGTAAATACTAAGGACAAATATATATGTATCTTTGTATTGAAGGGAAATGGCTCAAGCGCACAAATGTACTTGGAAAAGTTTCTAAAAACTATAGAAACATATTTTTATCCAGCGAATTTCGGACGGTGGATAGGAAAGTTAAGGGAGCTTCTTATCAAACTTCCATATCATTTTATCGTACGCTTACATAAGTATGTACATACATAATGTATAATATGATTCAATTGTAACTTTTATTCATCACCTGTGCAGGATAAGAGTAAATTTTTATTTCAGAGAGAGATATGACAAGCCAACGTGGGAAACTCCAATTCCTGACAATTACAAACTAACCGATAATGATGTCGACGCCTTCGTTAAGAGTATGCTGCCGTTAGCTATGACAGCTATGTTCAGCAAATTTGGCGTGAACGATGCCTGCCACGCTCTACAACACCTCGCTGCTATGAGACCGAATTTAGTGATACCGGATATGTTAGAACGAATGTATTCTACATTTGACTCCTTGACTGAACCTCATAAACTTACAGCCTCGATGATTTGCATGGTAGCCGTTGCTAGACCGATGGTGCAAGGTTCTAGAAACGTAAACAAGGGTACGGGGATTGCCTCTGTCATGCATATGCAAGACAGTAATACAATTTCACTATCATTTCACATCTCATAAAATTTCTCACTTATCTGCTACAGGTTACACCTATCCGGAAGGGCCCACACACGTATTGCCGCTTCTGTTTTCATCCTTACCTGGGATCGACCCGAATGACATCGGAAAGTGTTTCGCCACGTTTCGTCTTATTTCCGTTTACGCCACGATGATTCCCATCGTCGATTCCTCAAGATCGACCGCAACTATGACTGAGGAGGAAAGGATGATATGCGAAGCGACGTCGCGTTTCGAAGATTTTATACTACAGTTCCTGGACCGAGTGTTCATGTTCATAGATTCCAGTTCCTTGGAGGATGTGCCACTCGAGAGCTGCGACGGTGACCTGAGGAGCAGGTTGGAGTCGGTAGCGGAAACTGCGCTCTCCGGAGTGTGCACGACCCTCTTGATGGAGACCAGTGACACAATCTTCAAGAGCGCTTTGCACAAGTTGCGCACTTTCATGACGGAACGCATCCTCGAGACCAAAGTGGCCGGTCAACTTGCTGCGGTCGTCTGCAAGAGTTTTTCACGCTTTAACGGACGCGACACTTTGCGCGCGTTGGTGCCTGTGCTCGCACAAACAATCTTACCGGCGGTTGGCGAAGGAGAGGACGTGTTGAAGGAGGAGAACTTGGATCATCGGCTTCTACATGCCATGCTCATATTGTCCGCGGTTGTCGATACACCGGGCAATAACTTACTACCGCATATGGATACGCTGCTGAAGGTTCTCGATTACGTTCTGCTGTTGAGGTCGACAGACGGCAATAAGTTGGCCTGTCACCTGTTAAACTGCATTCTCACGTCATTGTCGACAATCACCCCGTGCCAGTATAGGTCGTCCACCAAGAGAGACTACAATGATCCCAACTATCCCTACGTTAGAGATTGGGGTCAGAGTGCGGATATCGATACCTTCCGCATCATATGGTACACCCCCGGCGAGGAGGAGATTGCTACCATACAACGAATATTCTCGAGATACTTAACAGTCCAAATCGATAAGCTCAAGGGATATTGCATGGACTCCAGTACATTAACCAGGTCAGTCGGCGCGACTACTCGCTTACTGCGCTGTTCATACTGAGATTGTCTGCAATGATGATACATAATAAACGGATAAAAATGTAGGGAGGAGCTGTCCGTTTGTCTGAATATCGTGTGCAACATTATCAGAGGGTCCGAGTTTGTTCTACCAGTATGGACGGAAGCGCCGCTCAAATTAGTGGAGTCCTCTTTAAAGTGCACCTCTATGCTGCCTACGGACGGGATGAAAAGATATGTCACGATGCCCGATGGGAGCAACGTCAGATATTATATCGCTGGAGTCATGAGCGAGGTCCAAAGGGCGATGCTTAAAAATGCGGAAGACAATACAAAAAGTTTCTTTGCATTAATACAGGTGTGTATACACCGACTTGCATTGAAATCTTTATACGTGAAGTTATAGCTTTCTAGAATGGTACATTTTTCTGAAATAATATATTGTGAGAAGAGCTCCAAAATAATTTAACATCATATGTAAAGACTTCAATGTCAATCTATGTTTATAATTGTTTGCATAAAGTCGTAGAAGTTTGCGTTTTCTGGAATATTTCTGCTTATAAGTTACTTTTGTACACCTCATATTTAAAGATGTGACAGCTCAGATCTTTCAGACAACGCGCAAGCTTTTGCAGAGGTTTGCAGTCTCGTTAACTTGGCATATATGACATAATTTCGTTAAAAAAAATCAACCTTTATGAACATGACTACACACACACACATACACACACACACACACACACACACACACACACACACACACAAAGTTTCTGCAACAATGTCTGTGTATAGCATTACGTCAAGAAATTTTCTCAATTTAATACCACTGCTAAATCCGACAATTTTTTTTAACTTTAACAAGCATTTAATTAAACTAATTTCGTAGATTTGGAGTAGCTTGTTACTGGGGAAAATACGGCTGTTTGAGTCACACGATGCAAGACGCAAGAATTTCCATGTGACGAAAAAATTGTTCGAAGACAAATTGGTGAAGAATAAAGGCCGCATGGGTCCCATAATGTTGGAGCGTTGCGACATGCAGCACGAAGCGCGGCTACTCGCACGATTGGTTGCGCTGACGGAGACCCACAAACGGATAATGCTGGAGCTGTTCACGCTTGCCATAAGCAGATACGCGGACGTGCGTATGAAGGCACAATCAAGCCTCCACTCCGCTCTGAAATATTTTCCGTATTCCTACACATTCATAGTGCCCCGTTTGATCGATATCTTGGCGAAAGATACGGAGGAACATCATGATGCGTATAAGGTAATGACTATCAATTTATCATCAATCAGATGTAATTGCTCGTTGAAAAGATCCACGTTACATTATGAAACCGTTCGACAACAGGGTGTCCTGTACATGTTATTCGGGCCGGTACAAGATCCCATTATCACGGTACAACACTGGAGTATGCTGCGGTCGTTGTGGCCAGCTATCGTGCTTTCTAAGCCATCCGAGAAACTCTCTGTGATCCGCTTGAAAGAAAACATTGTAGATACTGTAAGCAAATTCTTCATTCCGACCACCATCAAGCTCGAAGTGCCCGACTCATGCCTGACGGCTGCGCGCGCCCTGTGGAAGCACTTGCCACGACCGGCTCTGCCGCAACCCAGTGAGGATGAGGTACAGAGAGGTGTGCAAAACTTGAAGCGACTCGGCGAGTCTAATCTGACGGCGTACAATGGTCTGCTTGACGAGCTGTTACGTTGTATACTCGAGGAATCCCTGCACTGGCGACATAGATTGATGGCGATGAGCTTCATACGGGACTTGGTACATCCGGATCAAGTTTATTCCGTAAAGATAGTGCGTTACTTTCTGCAAGCGCTCGTACATGATTCCTTGGAGGAAAGGAAGATCGCTATCAAAACAGTAGTATATATACTGACGCAGCAAAAACGGAAACATCCGAAGGTATGAAGACGTTGCTTGTAAATAAATGTTTCTTTCGTCTGAATCTTCATCTTCATGCTTTCCTATATTAAAAAGTACATCATGTATGTGTCAAAACGTCCACTTCTTCTAGATAACAATCGATGCGTACAGCTTATCCAAGAATAAGGAGCTAAGTGAAGAACAGTCGAAAAATATTATACCCGGGATGAGAGCGGACAATTCTTGGCTTCAGTACAATTACAAGACCCGTCCGTTGACCGCCGAGCAATGGGACGAGTCTAAATACCTTCATTTGCCGTACATAGGTTACTATACTTGGCCACAAACCTTGGAAGTGTATGCTCCTTCGTCTCAACAGCCCTGCCTCGATCCGGAAGTGCGCAAGCTAACAGACTGCGAGAAGGAGGTCGATCTTTTCTTCAACGATTCGCAGAACATCAAGAAGTTGATAAGTTACCTCAGCTTGGAGGAGAAGAAAGGCAAGGATAAGTTCAACGGGTTCAGAAGCTTCCTGTTCAAGGGTCTGTTCCGCAATCATGGCATTGGGTATCTCAAGCATTTCCTGCCTCACCTGCAAAGATTGGTGACGGACAAGCACGAGAGTAGCCAACGATGCGCCGCGGAGATCACGGCCGGAATCATCAGAGGAGCCAAACACTGGTCGTTCCAGATGACGTGCGAAATGTGGCAGTCGTTATTGCCCATCGTGAGAACCGCGCTCTCGAATTTGACGGAGGAGACTGTCATAGACTGGGGTACATGCTTCGCAACAGTGCAGCAAGCTCGAGATCCGAACAGGCATCATTGGCTGCTGGAGTGTCTGATGGAAGAGACACCTCTGAAAGACTTGGAGTCCTCGTTCGTGGAATGCGGTCGTCTATATGTGCTGCAGAGCGTCTTAACTCAACAGTCGTGGCGAGTCAACGAGTTGTTGCTGCGTCTGTTGACGCACCTGGAGAACAGATTATTAACCAATCCGTTCCAGAATGTGAGAGAGCGCCTGGCTTCGATGTTGGTCATCGTGTTTGAGACTGATCTCAGGTTTCCGCGTAGGTGGCCAGATGCAACAGATCCAAATATGCAGACCTTGATCGATAAGATCGTGCCGAGATTAGAACGACTCGTAGAGAATAGTACGGCCCATAATAAACTGCGAAATCACAAGAGAGAGGAGAGTCTGTTGGAGAAAGTGGCTAATGTTTCGTTTGATGAGATGAAGGGAGACTCGTCGTTGAAAACGGAAGAGCAGGAAATGCCTAGGAGATTATTGAAGACCGTGTGCAGGTGGATCACCGGCAGCATGTTGCGTTCGCAATACGGCGCGACTCCAGGATTTTATCAGATATTCCCATTTATGTGTCAATTAGAGAGCTCGGAGGCGGACGAGGAGCTCAACAAGTCGTGTCTATGCGCGTTGGCGATCCTCGCACAAGCGTTCACCTTGCCGGAGTATATGCCAGTAGCACTGACCTCGGTGAAGACGATATCCGAACACTCGTCGTGGTCGAGTAGACTTACCAGCTTAGAGTTCCTTCAAGTGTTAGTCTTTCACAACATGGGCATAATTCTTAGCGACGTATCATGGATCGATAGCGTTAAGAGTATTGTCCTGCGCTTGTTAGAGGATGAGCGCTTAGAGGTCAGAGAGAAGGCTAGTCAGGTGCTCGGTGGACTCTTACACTGCACGTTTATCGAGGATCAAGAGAAATTATTGGTAAGCCCCTCGAAAGCTCTGAGAAGTATTTCAGATTCTTGCGTTCTGATGTACGTATATAGCACATCAACGACATAATAGTAAATTTAAGTAATAAAAGAGTTGTGGATAATAACTAGTTAATCAGTTAAATATTTAATTTAAAAGTTAGTAATTTTTAACTTTGTTAATTTGAGAAGAATTAACGTTTAACTCAAAGTAGTTATATCAAAAATTATTCGCGTTAATTTATTTACTCTTTTATATTAAAATAATTTATTAATATTAAAATTATTGTGGATTGCTTATAACGAAAAGTAAGAAAGATAAAAGATGTCAGTAAAATTTTCTCTCTCTAAGCAACAGTACTACTTTTTTCTGCAAAATCCTAAACATAAAATAATCGATATTTTCTTGTAAAAAAATCTTTTAATTATTTTATAAATTATTATAAATTTAACGTACAATTAAAAAAATAATTGTATAAAAAATAATACTTTGCATAATTAATTTTTTATGTTAATAAGTTGATTTAACTTTAACTCAACTTTTTACATTAAGTTAACTTTCGTTTGAATAATTTTTAATTTAACTAAATTAATTTTATAGGTCTTCACTTTTACACACATACACTTAATGTAGTTAAAAAAATATGTTATTTTATCCAAACTTGGTGACACGCTACAGCTTTAATATTCACCGTTTTGGTTTTAGGAGGAGTTCAAGAAAAAAACAAGGACTCGATTACACAAGAAGAACAACGAGAACGCGTCTAAAAATGCAAAAATCGATGCGATACGTATACGTCATGCTGGTGTTCTTGGACTATGTGCTTTCATTCGTGCTCATCCATACGACGTGCCGAAATATATACCTCCCGTCTTTGAGCATCTCGGCCTTCATATGAATGATCCGCAGCCTATACCGGTAATTTCGTCACTTGTACAATCTTTTACACAGTATTCTTCACAGTATTATTCACAGTTTTTTTAAATATTATTGCTGCTGTATACAAGATGAATCATTAACAGTTGCCATCTGAAATAATTTGTATTATCTATTCATATCAAGAAAGAAACAAACATTTCACGTTTTTCATATTTTGTATTCTCTAAAATATTAAGATTCTGAATTTTTTTAATGGCACTTTTTTTTACGTTGCAGTTGATAAAAATATTAAGAGTTGAGTAACATGTTACAGTGAATTTGAAAGTGATTTTTATCTTACAAATATATATTATGTTTTAATTTATAAAGTACTCTGACATACCTTATATATTTTAAAAATACATATTTTTAGTATTATACTATTTTTCAACAAACTTTTTTTCTGTTGAGGCACTTGTTTAGCCAAAAAATCTATAAATAAAAACTCTGTTGGTAGAAGATGAGAATCTATTCATACCCATTACTTTTACGCTTCATATTTGACATCATCTGATTGGAATCGCGTGTTTCCCAAGAATGGAAAAAAAGAATATGTTCGTAGCACGCGATTCCAATCAGATAATAATATCAAATATAAAATGTAATAATAGCTGTGTGAATAGGTTTTTACCTTCAACAAGGTTTGGATTTATATATTTTTCATTTAAAGTGTCTCACCAAAGAAAATGACTATGTTGAAAAATAATACACGAATGTATATTTTTAAGAAATATGTACAAATTAAAGTAGTAAAAAATTGTATGAGTTGGAAACTTTATTTTTTTATTTTTCTTCGCATATATTATAGATGGCAATTTTTACCGAGTCATGTACCACTGTTCGATTACCGATCAACTTTTGTAACATGAATATCCAATTTATAGATGACAATAAGGAAAACACTAAGCGACTTCAAGAGAACGCATTACGACGGCTGGACAGGCATGAATGGCCACGTACAGCACTTCACGGAAGAGCAATTGGCTGTCCTGCAAGATTTAACAGTGCCACCGCCACATTATGCCTGAGTGAGAATTAAATCGTGTAGTACAATCATCGCAATATCGTACGCGGACGTGAAACCGGTCGTAACACTAATTACGATGAGAATCTCGTCCGAGAGGAATGTAGTATGGTCATTAAATATTGAACGAACGGCATTTAAAATGTCAATATGTACTTCTCATTTTCCGTTAGATTTCGCATGTAGGGAATAACGCTTTCGCACGATGATGAGCTGACGACACGAAAGTAATTGAATGCGAATGTGACTAAATCCCAAACTAAATCTTAAACGACATTTCTATGTATGTGTTTATTCATGTCTCGTTGTCGGCTACCCAAGGCCTATTTGTAATCTAAATCCCGGAGGTATAAGGAAGACGGTATTCAATAAAGTTTAAGATGAAAATCTGTTCAGACACACAGCACAGAGAGTAGCTTAGAAGTTTTATATTAAACTTTGTTACACATATATTCAAGCGGAAAGGAACAGTCAATTTTATCTATATAGAAAATTTTGTTAAACACAACTGATGCGTAACTTGATATAAATGTGATTATTTTTTTATAAGCACGATTTTAATTTAACGAATCCTTTCATCATTTAAGTAACATAATATTATTGTAGATTTTTATATTTTCTATAAACTATCTTCTTTCAGTGATATAAAAATATCATGGATATATATATATATTTATATCTCGTTAAAAAAAAAATATTTTAAGTATATTATCAAGCATTTCTCAACGTTGCAAGAGTCTCAATGTCATGAATGTAGCATGTTTATTAGGACATAAAGGATCTACTCTATCCTCCCCCTATCTTGAATAAGATTTTGCTGATAAAACTCGTCCTACTATCTCTCCCGCATTTATTCGCTAATATTGTTGCATTAATTATTTAATAACTATTGTGAAATTTGTAAAATAATAGATTTTCCTGTTTAGTTCTATATGTCCTACCTGCACACAAATGTTATGATGCTAATTGTCAGACTCCTTATATATACAGACTATTTGTAAAATGTGATAAATGACTTTTTGTTCAATATGAATTTATCTACAAGCACGTGACAGTTATTATACTTATCATCAGACATCCGGAGAGTCTATCAGGATTGTGTATGGTAAGTCTATTTTGTTTCACTTTAATTAATACTTTATTTTAATTATTTTGAAATTTGATTCTTATATTTTATATTCTGAAAAACACTTAAGTCATATATTTTTTTATAAATCGAAGTAATCTAAGGTAAAGGAGTAATTATTCCTCCTAGTAAATGTCAACTGACAATAACGTTATATCAGTGTTATAATATCTTTCTCAACAATGTAATTGTTATGCACATTATGTGTTTTATCATACTTACATTGCTGAGTGAAAAACGATAATGGTGATGTACCGATAGTGTTTACTGACTGGTTCGGATTTTCTTTCAAATAGAACATCGAGATGTTGAGATGTACGATAGAGTGAAATTTTCTCGACAATTAAGAGTAATGGCTTATCCTTATGGTAATGAGCGCAAGGTAGAAACATGCGCTTAACAATCAGATTAGTCGGAATCAGTACATTTTCGTTGACGTATTCTGATGCGCTTGCAACAGAAATGATTATTCTTCAGGACAGTTATGACCAAATCACAAATTACATGATTCAATTAAATTAAAAATGTGTTTAAGCAAACAAATAGCGAACTGTCATATGTAGACTCGAATATAAGTTCAACAGTATTAACGTAAAACAAACTAGTTGAAAAGATTACGCATCTAGAATTTCTGGAACTAAACATGGCTCCAGGAACTTATACATCTAAAATAACAAAAGAATTCTGATAAAAAAGCGACGAGAGCTTGGTTATATTTTGAACGAATAAATATGGATCACACATGTTACTATATTAAAAATAATGATAAAAAGGTTTTAAGACATGCATTTGTTTCGCAATGTAAATGATTACTTGTTATATGTAATAAATATTATCACGTAATCGTTATTCGGTTTTAATTTTTATTTTTATTTTACCACACGTTCATTTCTGATGCAATTTACTAAATAGATGCAACTTACTAAATACTAAGTTACTGCGGATTTATTACTCTATTTTCCTTTAAGTAATAAAATATGTCGCGCATAATTTACGTGCACACATGAAATATATGCAACGATTTTGTGTACAAATTTTACTTTAATGTAACTTATAATACAATCACAACTTACAGCTACAATACCTTGTAGCAGAACTTTGCTAAGTAAGGAAATACATGAGAATTATATATTCATAAGATGACGATATTCTCTCTTTCTCTGCTACAATCGTCACGCGAATGGACACATTCTGCAGTCAAAGTTGCAACAGATATTTTTACTACAACTTCGCTGAGTCTTTGATAAACCGAAAAGACACATTTTCCAAATTTACGCAAACATATCTTCTCGATCAGCGCCAACGCCTTCGCCATCTTCCAAGCTGGAGAAGTTGAGAAAGTGGGCTGGCCTGTGCACCTCGTGGTAAAATTCTTTCGGGTTCGCCAGCTGTAGCTCGTACTTCATATTGGGATCGTGCCTCACGCCCATGAAATTGTAGTTCCAAGAACCTTGACTGGGCACCATGAAGAAACCGAGGAAGCGGTCCGACAGCAACATCTGCACCTTTTCGTAGTGGCTGGGCAAGTAGCCCTTCGGATTATTACCTTTATCTGTGTTTTGCTTGCCCCATTCGAAACCACTCGGTGTCAGCTTGTACGCGGTGAGTGAGCAGGAACCAGGAGTGAAGCTGCAGGTGATAACAATGGTCTTCTCGCCGTCCCAGATCGAATTCTCCGCCATAATTCTGGCGTGAGTAGATATATCCTGTGGCGAAAGTTGCGGTAACTCGTTTGGCTGCGTGTGTATCCATCCCAAGGGTTCCATCTCCTTCAGGTATTGATGGTTGGGTAATGTGTTCGGCAGATGGACGGTCTGATGTGTACCCCATTGCGGTGCCATCACGATGCACCTAATTTCCTTCACCTATGATAAGTGAAACAGAATTAGTGTCAGCACACAACAGAGAGTATGTATGTGTGCATGTTTAAAATGTATTAAAATTTTATCTACAGGATGAAAGGAGAAAGAGTATAGAAACCCTGAAAAATCTCGAAAATTATAAATTTTACAAGAAACTGTTTCGGATAAAAGTTGTAGGGTTTTATATAAAATGTATGACATAATAAAGGTGATTCTAAGCGGACCCTGTCCGTTGTATAATGCACACTGTCCGTTTTCTTATACAACGGCAACGTAATGAAGATTAACACCGCTATGCTAAAACGGTTGATAAAGTAAACTATTTGAACAATCACCTGAGGATTGTCGGGTGGACTGATGCCATATAGATAGCCAGCGATCTGAGCTCGCAGATCGGAAATGGTAACAAACTTCTTCAGCACGTTCTTCGGCAAAATGTAAGTATAGCCGGTTTCCTTGATGTCGTCGGACGACACATAGATGTGATTTGTTCTGAGGTGAAGATTAGTCGCAGATATAGCGCGCACTCGCCACTCAGTCTTGGAGCTGAACGTTTGCGTCTCATAGTTGGACGTGGTCGCGGTGATGATTTCGTCGCCGTGCTTGTTCACGGTCCTCGTAGTGGTGGCGGTGAGCTGACTTTGCTCTTTGGTCTGCTTCTCGATCTCGGCGATCTGTTGACGTTGAGCGGACGGTGCGCTGATCTCCATACCCAGGATAATGTCTCGGATTTCAGACTGGGTGAGCGACGCGACGTTGACGTTGTTCTTCTTGCCATAGTCAGCCAAGATCAAGTCTTTGAGTTGCACTTCTACCTTGATCCACTCGTCGTCCGTCAACGACGGCCATATGTGGTGCGGCTCGGTGATGGTGGTCTTGTCGGGCTTCAGAACGACCTTCGTTCTCTCGGTGTTGACGTGCAACGCGCGTAGAATCAGAATCAGTCGCGAGAACGCAGTGTACGACGAGATGGTCTTCAGCCAGTCGTCGTATAGATTGAACAGCACCATTTGCGGTTCGGTCGCTTTCAAAATGAGATCACCGAACTTCTCCACTTTGAGACATGCTTGGAAAGGCAGCTGTAGCTCGGATCCTTTGATGACTATATTGGGGAAGTCCAACAAGTGCACTTCCAAAGGATCCAACATGCCTTTCCTGGTGACGATAATTTGCTTCGGTTGTTCCTCCACGGGCAAGGAACGAATGAGAGCGGCGACTTCTTCGGCGGTCTTCCACTTTGCCAATTGACCCAAACGTTTCTGACCCGCCCAGACCGAGGTGTGAATAATCTTCAAGAAGAGCTGACCAGTACGCGGATTGAAAATAAAGATTGCTCCGTTGATTGGCTTCGTAGTCAAGTTACCTTCGAAGGTCTTGTGGATCGTTACACGATACACATTGGTGTCGTCGACGAACCATATGATCTGATTGGAGAAGAGCTCGCCGTAATTCTGCGAAGAGAGGTAAGGCTCTGTAGGTTCAGACGAATAAAGCTGCAAAGCTTTGCGAATGCGCTCGCGCAACACGTACAGAGCAGGATTCGCCTTCATGATTTTCGCCATGGCTTGTTGAATGAGCGGCTTACAGCCAGGGAACCAGTTGCCATAAGCGCTGTGCAAGTTGTATGCTAGATCTATGGCTATCAAGAGACCGGTGGGCGATGGGTAGATTGACATATTGTCTGTGGTATAGTCCAAAAATTTGGCACGCGCGTATCGCTCGATATCGTGCGAGTCGTAGTCGCCCCATCTCAGCTGTACGTCGATCCAGTACTTCTGGGTGGTCGTGTTGTCCATCACATCCTTGGAGTCGGCGAGCAGCGACGGCCGCGACACGTTCCACTTGTAGGCTGAGAACAAGAGTATGTCAGCGCACGAGGAATTCATCTTGTAGGACTTCCTCGGGTGAATCGTCTCCTTCTGCACGGTCTCAATCTCCAAGGCGTCCAGTTCCTGATCGAACACCTGACAGAGATCCATCACGATCGACTCATGCACCTTCTGCCACAAGTGGGCGCGGAAGATCTGGATCAGCGAGATCTTCAGGGTCGGTATCTTGCCGTGCATGAATATACCCGTCAGGTCGAGCTGCACCTGGAAGCCAACATAGACGTTTGCGCGGTTGATGGTGGGTGACCACCACAACGTAAACCGACGATTGGGGATTTGATTCAAACCGGAGCGTTGCGCGTTTGTTAGTTTCTTGTATTTCATCGATTCTTCGAAACCAGACGCTTTCTCCCAGAAGAGACCTTCCCAGGTGGGGAAGTAAGTGCCCTTGAAGAGCGTGTGCTCGAGAATGCCCTCGACACCACCGAGCGCTTGGATCATGTCGGTCCTGTAGTTGTTTAAGTTCCACAGTTTGCCGTCGTGACGCTGATGAGTCCACCAGAACGGATTCTGCTTCAGCACCTGATACTGCTTGAACTCTGTACGAATACGCCAGCCTTTGTCGTATGCGAGTGTGTGCCGATCCTTTTGGAACAGCGTGTTTATCCTGGGAATACCGCGATCCCAACTATCCTCGAGGTCCTCCAGGGTGAGTCTGCGATTTTGCGCGTTGGCTTCTTGCCGCTTCAGAGCGTACTCAGCCCAGACGCGTTGAGAGTCGATGAACTCGGACTCCCACGGTTGTATATAGCGATACAAGTTAGGTATTAGTTGGTCCTCGTCGTGACTCATGCCCGAACGGAAATGGGTGATACCCACGTCGGTTTGTTTCGACCATCTCAGATCGGACTGCGGTATTAACACGTGACCCATCGACAACATTCCTAGGCCACCCAGCTCCTTGGGCGTGTAAAAAACTACAGGTGGGAAACGAGAGGGCATTTTAGAATTAAGTCCGATCTTGATACGAGTCTGGATCTTGTTCTCGCACTTGACCAATAGGTCTAACAATTCCTGCGTGTTCACTACGGCCTCTCTGAAGTAAGTCATCAGACCGATCAACGCGGTGTTCCATTTGTTGACGATTTTCGTGAACGTGGTCGAGCCCGAGGCCATGAGAATCTGCCGGACCCGATTGTGAAATCGCTGTAGACTTTCATCATCGACGCGCAAGAAGCACTGCGCTGTCCTCTCTTTGGTGATCTCGTTCTGCAGATTCCAGACACCGTCACGGTGAGTGAATTCCTCGTGAGTTGTCCTACACTTGGGTAAGATTCTACACTCGAAGCCGCTCATGTTAAACAACAGATTCGGATTGTCTTTGCTGTAGACGCTGACGAAGCTGTTCTCCCACTGGATAGTAGTGGTGGAGCGCGGCAGTCGATTTTTGATATCCCAGAAAACGGCGCGGCCTAGGTTCACGTCGTGCTTCATGAGACGCATACGAGCGTCTCGTGGCCAGCACTTCTTGTTGTTGTAGCCAACGATGTTCTCGTTATTCGGGTCAGGGTGCTCTGTGAGGTAACGCTGGATAAGATCCCTCGCATCATCTGCGGAAAAACGCAGGAACAGGTGGATGCGGTCGACGTAACGACAATACAGTCGGATAGGGTGCGCCGTTTCCGACGCGACGTCCTGAAAAGTCAGGAAGTCATTCGGCATCTGCGGCGGGCCGGCCATCTCACTGGCCCTCTGGAGGCCTAGTACCAGCAGATCCAACACGAGCCCGTAATATTGGGCTATGAAGGATGCGAATTGCAGGCCTCTGATAATCCCGTAGCTGTTAGTGTGATTCATGTCCTTGTAGTTGATGACTACGTTGTTCTTCGCCGTCATGTAATCGGCGATGTTGTGGTCGACTATCAGACGCAGCAGTCTGTTGAGCAGCGTGAGATCGATCTTCTCGTACAGCTTCTCGAATTTCGACTCCAGCAGGACGTTACATTCGCCTTCGCTAACGTCCCACACGTCTTGGAGATTGTTAATGCCCTGACACCATTTGTAGACGAGGAGCGGCGGCGGCTCCGTGTCGGCCGGTTTTACCCATGGTGGGAATAGCCGCCTCTTGTCGGCTTCGTACCACAGGTACTGGTCCAGGTAGGCGTCCGTGATCTTTTCCAACGGCTCCACGTCGTATACAGGGATCAAGTGGCTGTAGAGATCCATAAATTCGATACCGATCTCTTTGAAAGACCTCTGCGTCAGCAAGTGTCGTTTGATCCTGGACAATGCCTCGTGAGGATTGTCGTACGCTTGCTCTATTAGACCCAGCTCTTCTCGCTGGCTCTGATTCAGCCTGGACTTGACACTATAGGCTTCCTTCAAACGTTCCAACGCCAATATCAGTAGTTTAGTGTCGTGCTTGTAGGACAATGGCGGGAAAGGTATTGGCGCGAACCTTCGGGATTCCAGCCAATGCACCGAAGTAGTGAATATAGCCACGGCTTCTTCCGGGGATATATACGGGCCGTCCTTCAAGTAGTTGTGCTGCCGTTCCTGCTCGGCCTTCAGGTAGAGACGCGTCAAGCGACCCAGGTTCTTCTTGCACACGGTCTTGTCCACCGTGGCGCCGCGTCGAATTCTCTCCCGATTGTAGTGGGCGGTGTTGGTCCACCAGTCGGCCTTCATTTTCACGTAGCGCAGTATCATATTCTCGATCGGGATCGGCAGCCCCGGTACTTTCCACGGTATGTTCGCCTTCCAACATCGCCACGCCTCGCTGAGATGCTGCAGGATTGTGCGCGCTTTGTTCTGTTTGATGCCCTCCGGCATCATGTCAACTATGTCGTGCATGACGGACGCTCTCAGCTCGAGATCGAAGTGCGACTCCACTCGCTGCTTCGTCACGGTCTTCGCCACGCCTTTCGAGTGTCGTCCCTCAAACTGTCTGGATAACAAGTTGCCGAGCCACCTCTCCAAGAGCGGCGTGATGCCTCTCATGAAGAACAACCAGACGCGCCAGCCGGGCGCCCAGAAGCCGCAGCCCGGCCCTTTACCGACTGGTCCAGTGTTGAAACGGTAATAGATCAAGTGCTTCAAGTCCTTGCACATTCTGATCTGCCGCATTAGCTTGTACTTGTAGCGGTACATGCCGGTTAATTGGCCCACATGCGCGAAAATATATTGCAGGCCGTCGGCGAGCTGGAAGGCGTCCACGTTGTTCAGACGATACTGCACGTGAGAATCGATGATGAGTTTAGTTAAGCGAAGGATCTCTCGGCATAGATGGAAGGCGTTGCCGAAACGAGACTTCTTTCTCTCCTTCGTCGTGAGCGTTTTCACGGGTTTCAGGTTGAAATTATAATCCAAGTGAAGATAGTTGAGGTTCTTCCTGTGTATCAGCAGATTTAGCATGTTGTATCCTTGACGGCACACCTGCAAGCCAGCTTCGACCCAGTCTATCGTGGTCGTCTGGAAGAACTTGGTCGACTTGAAAGAACGGAACAGGTAACGCTTCTTCTGCGGCTTCGGCGGCCTGTGCTTCAGAGCGTTCAACACGAAATACTTGAGCAGTTTCTGATAACTGACTCGCACTTTCACAGGTTGGCCAGGCGGACAATGTTCTCTGTACCAAGACTTAACCAGTGGAATATCGATGGCCCTCCTGGTCCTCCCAGAACGCGTGTTAAACGGTCTCGGCGCCCACAACAGAGCTATTCCGTTCGCTGTGTTGTCTGTGTAAAGTGGTATCTCCTGGAGGAACGGCTGCACCTCGTTCGGTAGAACGAAGTCCTCGTCATCCTCGATTTGTGGCTCTATCGTCTGCGACAACAATGATTCGACGATGTAGAAATTGTTGTGGACTCTTCTAAATTAAGAGAGAAATTTACCTTCAACGAATTTCTATGAGAAATCGGGTTGATTAACGGATCAAAATAGAAGGCAGGCAAATCAGGATCTTCAGTTTTTATGTACACAACATTCGGCGCGTGATACCTGCAAAGTGTAATATATATATTAGCGATACCGAGTATAGATAACAGAAGAAGGCAGATGAACATTTTGATTGTAAAAGATGGTCGCGTGAGACCAAGAGCTGTAAGTAACATCAGCAGTTTCTTTCCAGTCTTTATGAAAGATACGAATAACAATCACTATATTTTCTCTACCACACTGCTAGGAAGATCATGTTATGTTAGCAAGCAGATCTTAAAACTAGTGTGGAAAATAAACAAATAAAATTAAACAATAGAAATGCAATCAGGTAAGAAAAGTAGCGTAAAGGATTATTACAAATTATAAGATTACAAATTATAAAAATTACAAGTTATAAAAAATAAAAAGAAGCAGCATTGTAGTTACCATGATAGATGCACAAAGTGTGGCATATTGTTGTACAAATAAGGGAACGCAATCCTATATTCCGTTCTAATAGGTTGCCTGATGATAATCTTGTTTATGTCATTGAATTCATTCCAATCTTCATCAGCAGCATTTGAGTCTTTCACTAATGGTTCAAATTTCGGTCCTCCGGGGATTGCCATATTTAAGGCTTTCGCGGTAAAGAACGACTTAGGATCAAAGAGATAGAAGAAATTCTGATCCACCAGATCGGTCAGCAATTGATTGGCTAAACGATATAACGTCGCCATTTGTGGTAATGTCAGGTTCCACTTCCGATACGTGGATCCATTCACGTGTCTGTAATAAATTTTTATCGCTCGGATTTATAAATTATAATGGAAGAGTTTTAAATAATTTTTTTAAGAATATTCATTCAGTGTAGCATTTTGTCCAACCATGGATAACTCGTACTGTCAGTCTCAGACAACAATACGCAGTCAACCAAGTTGTCAACTCACATGTACAGTTGATTTCAGGACCCCTACGCTTTTCATCATTATAAAACAAATGAGTCAATGATATTCAAGTTGGCAATTAATCAAGAAATAAAATATAAGAACTTTTCTTTCACTTTTTCTGTGATTATTAATTGATGATAGTATTTAAAAATAATTAGCTCACTTTGTCCCAACTAATGGCTTGTGTTCATAAAACCATGACGCTACAGATTCGTCTTCCTCCGAGTCAAGTTCGATTTGTATAGCTTCTAATGGTTCAACATCCAGAACATTGTCTGCATAGTCAAGAGGAGGTTCCTCATCATCAAAAGGTGGGAATCTCATTCTTTTGAAATGTCTACGATCTCTCTTTTCTCGTCTCATCATGATCCACATGGTGCTAAAGAAGTAAATTTTTAGCAAACAATTTTGCAATTGTGAAATACAAAAAATAATCCTTGCATCCTACCCCCATTGAGCTATGTATACAGGTTCTATAACCCAAGGAATCTCATTGACAAATGTAATAGCTCCCGTGATATGATATAAAACCTTTACATCTCTTATCTGTTCCCATGGCATAGGCATATTTTCCAACAGTTTCATAACTGCATGCGGCATATATTTCAATGCTCTATAATATAAATATACATTTAGAATTAGAAAATCCAATCGCACACTATATTACAATAACTTACCCCAAATAAACACGCTTGTCATGTCGATATTTTCTACTGCTCATATCACCATGATCTCTGATGATCTTCCTTATATGCTCTGCTGGCATATCTTCTTTTTGGGCATCCACAAAGCCAAACTTTCTCTTTTCCGCAAACCGCTTTGACTGCAGTTGTTGCCATTTTTGCGCTGAAACAGAGAAATTCATCAAAAATCTACATATTATAATTGCTTACTACAAATGTTACCTTTCTCCTGAAGTTTGTCTTCTGATAAGACTTCTGGTTGTTTGGGCATCTGAGGCAATGGTGGCCCAGCTATAGCCTGCATATGAGCATGATGAGCAGCTTGTGCAGCTGCCTGTGCATGTGCTTGGGCAGCAGCTAGTTGGGCATGGGCCTGCTGTTGGGCCATCATTGTGGCCCATGGGTTTGGACCCAGTAAATATGGTGGAATAGACATTTTTACAAATGTTCAACTGAAAAATTTAAAATTCTTTTATATACTATTTCTTTTTATATATTATTTTTTCCTAATATAGGGGTTACAATATTCTTTCTGTATATAATCTATAACATGATGAAATATTTCGCCAATAACCAGTTTTTAACTCTTGGAGTGCTAAACACAAGAAAAAAACTAACGTCTCATCTGTGAACTGATGACTAATAATGGCTGCGTTCCGTTTCACGCCAGTGCTGTTAGGTGCAATATATTGCGACGCTACAGCGCATGCGTGAGAGACGTAGGAGCTCGCTGTTGAGTGAAAATCTCAGTATCGTATCTTTTTCAAGGTATTATAGCGCCCATATTATACTATGCATTGAGAATTGCAATCGAGTAAATTAGATAATCTAAATCGTGGTTATTTTAATTGATCTGATAATAATTCTCAATCTATGGTCTAATACAAATATTATGTAACAGTTACATAGTTGAGTGAAAAATTATAATGTTAACGTAACGTAATTGTTACTTAGTATCCACTGGAATTATAATGTTAATGTAACTGATATTTAGTATCCACTGAACAATATAATCTAAGATAAGGCACTCGCGCAAGAAACATGGGAAAACTACACTGGAGCCTGGAAGACAGCTGATTGGATAGCGCGGGCCCCTTCATGGACTCTGCGATGCGCTTTATTGCCGTCATTGACATAGAGCTCTACGTCATCTCACGCATGCGCTGTAGCGTCGCAATATATTGCACCTGACAGCACTGTTTCACGTATGATGCGCATGGAGAGCATAGAAGTCGTTCCGTTTCACTCCATGTATACTTCATGCGCGCATGAAGATAGTCTCCCACCACCATGCCGCGCTATAGTGTGTAGCACATGAGAACGCATGAACTGCCTCAGCTCCCGAGGAGATGCAATCCATGCGCGATAGCCATTTAGGCGGGAAAGATTATCATCAGAAGTTTGTAAGAGTTTATGCACACTTGATTTATTTTATAATTCTGTAAAGATAAGCGGAAAAAAATTAGAAGTTTATGTCAATGATGAATTATGGACATTTAACGTCTCCAACGCTGAATTCGAAGCAGCAGCAACAACTGGCAGTAAGTTAATATCTTAGAAATTCTAGAGAAATTTTTATTATAACCTTAAACTTTATCGTTTTTTAACTTTGCTGAATTCACTCTATGGTCCCTCAGACCAACCAAAACACAAAACTGATTTTTTTTCCAAAACCGATCTATTTTCCGAAATTGTACACATAAAGATTAATGTTATTTACTATTTTTTTTGCTTTTCTATTAACAGATATCACGAACTTAAAAATGAAATTAAAAATGAAAGTTCATGTAAAAACAACTTCATATTATATTTCTATTGCGTAAAAATTACAATCTCACAAACTGTAGTCTGTGTGTCATAGAAAATAGGATGGGTTCAGAAAAGTTAAAAAACAGCAGCGTGATATTAATTCCATAGGGATTGTGTTTTTGTTTATATATGAGGCCAATTTCATTTGCCTCATCTATATAAACAGGCAGATATTTAGAATATATATATATATACATATATAATATATATATATATATACATATATAATATATATATATATATATACATATATAATATATATATATATATATATTTAGCATACTGAATTTGAATCGAAATATTATTTTGTGGAATAACACTCACTTTCTAGGATGCTCTAAGCAATTAAAATCTTATTTTACTTTGACAGATGAAGAAGTAATCAAGTTTTTAGTGGCTAAAGAAAGTGAAAGAAAAAGCATAGCAGTAATTGACGAAGAACAAGCTGATAAATCAAGACAGCCTATATCTGAAGCAAACGAAGCTAAGAAGGATTCTTTCATTTGGCCTAATAAGGCAATTCTTTTGCTTTTGGAGATTTATCGAAACAAAGAGTCTGATTTTGTGTCAGGGCTGATACGTCATAATAAAATATGGATGGATATTGCCAGTGAAATGAATAAAGCAAAGTATAATGTCACTGCTATACAATGTCAAAATAAAATGTCAGGATTGAAAAGAACATACAAAAATATATCTGACAGCAACAATAAATCAGGTAATCATGCAAGTTCTTGGGCCTTTTACTCTGTTATGGATTCAATATTTGGAAAAAAAGCCTGATAGAGGCCAGGATAGAACCTGCCAGGATAGAACCTGCATCAATAGCTAGCAGTGATGGTCCATCTAGTCCAGGATGCTCTTCATCCTCATCAGATAAGTCGTTAGAAGCAAATGAGCCGAGACCAAAAAAAGGCGGGTGGAATCAATTTTAGAATCGTTCATTGCAGAAATGAAAGAAGATAAACAGAAGGAGAAGGAGGAAAAACAACGGAGAAGAGATGAAAGAAGAGAAGAAAAGGAAAATAAGTGGAAGCAGAACAGTGAAACACGAAAAAGTAGAATGGAGTTCCACCAGTCCCTGCTTAAACTACTTGCTAAAATAGCAGAACAAAAATAAAGGCCTATTCTATAACTTATAACGATGTTATATATAATAGCACAGCTACTGCAAAAAATCTGTGCAGTGATACATAACATCATTAAAAATTACAGGATAAACCTCTTTAGGAATATTTCAAACAGTATTGTCATTCTATGCATAAAGTGCATAACTAGTCAAAATTTGATATTTTATTTTGTTTTTGTAGGTATAATTAGCGTCCATATGAATTATGCATATACCAACACATTTACATATTCTGCATGCACATATGTGGAAAATGTGTTTTGATATATGCTTAAATTCATATGGAAAAGCCTTAATGATGATATCTGTATATCTGATATAAGTTTAACGCTGTTTGATATTTCCTATATATTGACTCTTTTATTTAAAAGATTGCATATTTAATTTTTGTTTAAATTGGAATTATGAGACCCCTTTTAAGTTTATTGTTGCATTAAAAAATTAAGAATAATGATCGCATACTTATTTTTAATTTGAGCTCGACTGATTAGATTAAACTTGTTCTTATTTTATGCAGTTAGATGCTTTAGAGAATATAAGAAAAATAAATTTAATAACATATTTAGCATATTTTTTATATTACTTCCAACGTGATATTTAATTTTCATTTAAATTGGAATTATGAGACTCCTTTTAAGTTTATTATTGTATCAGAAAATTAAGAATAATGACTGCATACTTAATTTTAGTTTGAACTCGACTGATGAGATGCTTTTTGATTATTATATTAGGAAAATTAAGAGTAAGAACTGTTATGTTTGTATTCACTGTTACTTTTTTTACTGTTTATATGTTGTAAAATATCCTATATATGTGCATTAAATAACCAACACTTATTTCAGATAAATTTATTTCCTTTTTTCAGTAACACATGAGCAAAAAAAATTGTTTTTAACACATTGATCAATTGTTATAATTAAAATACATGAAATACACTAGAATATGTGGAAGTTATTTCATTTTTATCTTATATTACATCAATAAATTTTAAGTAAACATCAATAAATTTTTAATATAAATTAAATTAAAATCATTTTAATAAAGGCCCCAAACCACCTGTCCAAAGTCCAAGAAACATCTAATTATTTTCATTTATAAATCTCATTGTCAATTCATTCATGATTCTTATTCTTTTTTGGTTACCTAAATCTGTCCCTGCTACTATAACATCAGCGGCAATATTCTCAACATTGTTAAGACAAACAATAATATCAATATTGTCATTTTGTAATATGCAAATATTGTGCATTACACAGCATGCAATAATAAATTGTGATATCTTACAAGGGACATTGGCAACGCGGAAATTCAAAAAAATCTGAAACTCTGCATAATTGTAGAGCAGATATACCTAATAACAAAACAATTTTTCGTTGGTGCCCAAAAACGGTTTTAAGGGTGGAAATAACCCCTTGAACAAAGTTGATTTTTGTCTTTCTAAGCGAATATTATCGAAACTATTAAAGATATGAAAAAATGTTTTAGACAAAAGTTTTATGGTTTTAAAAGTACTTTATTATGCTATATTTAGATTTTTTTAAAATGTAAAATTGTGTATAAAATACCCCCCCTCCTTCTCTTTTTTCAAATTGTTAAAATCAATTGTCCAACCAAAATAAAGCTTATTTTATGACAAATTCAACCATATATAATAACATTATGTTTGGAAAAGGCAATATTGAAAAAAAAATTAAAAATGCTCTTATATGTATGCTACGCGTACCAAACTTAAGGATTCGCTACTTGACGATGGCATTTCTTTCTTCCTCAAATCTTCCTCATAATTGCAAACTGTAAAAGATAAGGAAGGAAGAAAATAGAAAATCTAAAAAAGCAATAAAGTTGATGTTAAGAAGTAAGTAGGAGAAAAATAGCATGATAAGGATACAGTCACTAATATTTAAAAATGTTATAAATTATAAAATTTCACGTAATAGACGTTTATTTTGCCAACATTGCGGCTACCTTTTTCATTAATTTAAACGACACGCGTAAATATAAATAAATATGTGTGTGTGTGTATGTGTGTTTTTGTACGTGCGCACGTGTGTGTACATCATGGCAACATGCAAAACACTTGTCACAAGTTTTATGACTGTGCGACCAAAATAGCACTCTTTATCAAGTACAGTGCAATCAAGGTTCATTATATTGACATATGTTATCTTCATTCATTTGCATATAAAAGCTGTCCATTTTGGAATACATTTCAGTGTTATTGAAGCAGTTATTGAAGCAGTACGTATATTATTATTGCTGTGAGAAATGTTTAATTAAAATATCCTTAAGATTTGTATCATAATGTCAGTAATAAATCCAGCTAATGTTATTAATTTGTTAATTGCGACATTTCATTTCACAAATATTGCAATAACTCCTGTTAATCATCAAGAGGTGGAACTCCATGATACAATTACTGATTTAATAAAGAGTGCTATACATCACGATATTACGATCGAACATGAGTGGGGACTTGATTTTGACGATCCATCAGAACCGCATGACGTACAATTTGTAGATGTGTACGATATTGATGCTGAAGAAGATAATTATGGAAATGAAGTTTGCACTGTGGATGATGAAGGTGGAAATGTAAACTTAAATTATAAGAAAAAGGCAATCGAATTTTGGAAGAGTGGAAAGAAAGGACATTTATCTCTTACTTCTGTACAACATCGTTTTAGAAAAGTAAAGTTTAATTAAAAAAATAAGAAGAATAATATATAGTAAAATACTTGAGGCTTTTACGGTGTACAGTGACCGGCAGTGATTCGTTCCGCGACAGAGAGAACTCTATTTCCCCTCTCGCGGAACGCATCATTGTCGGTCATTGTACATACAGCTTTGACTATAAGTATAAAGCATCCCAAAAAATTTATTTAAATTGTGTAACAAAAACATACTATATGAATATATGGAGAACATAATATAGTATACGAGTATATGGAAAAATAATATAATAAAAAAATATAATATAAGAATATGTGGAAAATAATATTTATTTTACAATATTTATTGTAATATAATATAATATTAATATAATATAAATTATAATATAAATATAATATACATAAATATAATATACACATTATATTATAAAATATTAATATAATATTTATTGTAAAGAGATTATATATTTACTATGAGTATATGCATTGATTTCTAGGAAAATACAATGAGTTAGAGATGCTTTATACTTGTGACCAAAGCTGTAAATTATATAGTTAGAGTCGCGTTGTTTTTTATTTTAAGTTTTACAATTTGATGTTTCGTGAACATTTAATTCGTATATAACTTCTTTTATTTTTGAATTCGAATTGTTTAATATTGAGATTTGTTTTCTTCTAGGTAAAATCTATTCAACAATTGCACAGATGGCAAGAACATGTAATGAGTGGGGGTTCAAATACAGACAAACTTGTAGTTATTGCTGAATATGTTCTTATAAAATTCCAAGAAGCTGTTAATAGAGGACTTATTATTCATGATATAAATCTGCGAAAATGGGCACTAGAAGCAAAGGAACAAGTGGATTTTTCTTCATTTAAAGCAGGAAATTGGTGGATATGGAATTTTAAAAAGGCACATCGTATTACATCACGTAAAATAACTGCATTTAAAACGCGGTCTTCTCATTTAACTGATCTAACTATACGTCAAAACGCTGAGGAATTTGTAAATACAGTAAAGCCACATATTAATGTAATCGGTGCTGAATCAACTTATAATGCGGACGAAAGTGGCTTTAATTTAAAAATACATGTAGGAAGAACATTAGCTAATGTAGGAGTGAAGACAGTTGGAGCTACTATCCAATCTTTATCTGCTATGACTCATAGCTACACCATTATGCCTATTATATCTGCAGATGGACATCTCCTTTCGCCTTTGTATATAGTATTAAAAGAATCTACTGGTGTTTTTGGACCACAAGTAGAACAAACTCTTTTTAGACCAGTGAATATTTACATTGCGGCTTCAAAATCAGGGAAATTGACAACTGAACATTTCAAAAATTGGTTCCAAGAAGTGTATCTACCAAACACTGGAGAGAAAAGTATACTACTGCTTGATTCATGGACATTGCCCGAACCAATTGGAAGAACTTGTACCAAAAGACAGACATGTAAATATTCTAACAATACCAAAAAAAAACAACTGCTTTTATACAGCCATTAGATGTTTTTGGTTTCAGAATCTGGAAAAATTTTGTTCGAAGCTTTTCTGATAGTGTTATTATAAATAATTGTGACATAAATTTACATTTACATTTAAATAACATAATAAAATTGCAATCTTTAACACACAATCAACTGTCTTCTCCAAGATTTCGAAATTTATTTAGATATAGCTGGTATAAAAGTGGTTATTTATCAACACGGCCTGAAAAATTTCATAATCCAATCGATTATTGTTATTTTAAAGAAGAAAAACGTATACCAAAATGTAGCATTTGTGGTAAAATGGCTTTTATACGTTGTGCATGGTGCAAGCAATATTTTTGTTTTGAACATTTCTTTGAGCAATATCATTATTGTAATAATTATATAGAATAAATAATATTTTACTGTCCTCAATTCCTGTAAAATTTGTATATATTATAATCCATACCAAAATATAAGATATCTTTCACTCGAATATCTATATCGACTACTTAATTAATAAAACCTATATACTGAATGAAGCAAAACACATACACACAAATGTACACTGAATAAATTTATAAATTATATTTTTCATTATTAAATCCGTGTGTGTTCTCCTTTTTTCTTCATATCATTCATTTCCTTATTTGTTCTTTACAATTGAATTTAAAAGATTATCTATATTAAGGTTATATACACTCTCTCTGCGTCCTCCTTATCATGCTGTTCTTCTTCAACTTACTTCTTAACATCAACTTTATTCTTTTCTTAGATTACCTGTTTTTATTCCTTCCTTACCTTTTACAGTCAGTAATTATGAGGGAGAAAGAAATGCCATCGTCAAGCAGCGAACCCATAAGTTTGGTACGCGTAGCATATATATAAAAGCATTTTTAATTTTTTTTTCAATATTGCCTTTTCCAAATATAATGTTATTATATATGGTTGAATTTGTCATAAAATAAGCTTTATTTTGGTTGGACAATTGATTTTAACAATTTGAAAAAAGAAAAGGAGGGGGGTATTTTATACACAATTTTACATTTTTAAAAAATCTAAATATAGCATAATAAAGTACTTTTAAAACCATAAAACTTTTGTCTAAAACATTTTTTCATATCTTTAATAGTTTCGATAATATTCGCTTAGAAAGACAAAAATCAACTTTGTTCAAGGGGTTGTTTCCACCCTTAAAACCGTTTTTGGGCACCAACGAAAAATTGTTTTGTTATTAGGTATATCTGCTCTACAATTATGCAGAGTTTCAGATTTTTTTGAATTTCCGCGTTGCCGAATGTCCCTTGTTAGTCATATTAGTAAGAGGCAAACAGTCAAGCAAAACTCGAAATCTCATTTTCAAAAGTCCAAAAGCTCTTTCAATGGCCATGATGCGAGTAGATGATAAGCAATAATTAAAGTTTTTTTGTCTTGCAATGAGATGTCTGTTATCTCTAAATGGCACTATGACATGTGGATGAATTGAATATGCTGCATCTCCTAAAAGATGAGAATCGAAGGGAAAATAATTATGTGGCTGTTGGATAAAGTCAGTTAGAGGAGAGTTTCTAAAAACTCGTGCATCATGCACAGATCCTGCATGCCCAGCATAGCAATGAGTAAATAAACTTCGAGCATTACACACAGCTTGTAGATGAATAGCGGGATAATTTTTTCTACAGACATAAGAAGCTGCATCTTTTTGAGGACTATGTATCTGTATAAATGAGCCATCAATAGCCCCAATAACGCCTGGAAAACTTTTCACTTTTTTAAATGCTTCCATGGTATCGATAGCCTCTTCTTCTCTTGGCCATTTAATAAAATGTGGTGCTAGACAATGGAGAGTATGAGTTACCCGTCTCACAGCGCGCAGTGCAGTGGCCTTTCCCACACCAAACTTGACGCACACAGATCTGTATACAGAATGATATGATTATAGTTGCAATATTATGCTGTTTCTTTCAATAGTTTCAAATACATACCGATATGAATCTGGAGTAGCCATGTACCATAATGTTATTAAAAGTTGCTTTTCTGCAGATCTTTGTTTCCTTCCACGAGCATTTGTGGCATTCAAAGGTGCTCTCAAAAGCCTCAGAATTATTTGAAATGTCTCTGGAAACACTCTACATACTACATGAAATGAAATATATGACAGACCTGCATTTATTAATCATTGACGAGAAATACATTTGTACAAACCTAAAATGTTCCTTAAAAGTTATTTTTGAATATCCTGGAATAACTCGTTCCACATAATCGTTTACTTTTTCGACTTGACGAGTTTGACCGTGCGTCTTATTCGCCATTAACATGACATATAAGGTACGCATGTCAATTTCCTCGTCATTAAAATCATCTTTATTGTCATTGGAATCACTGCTGGATGATAAAGAAATTTCGTCATAATCTTCGTCAATCTGACTGCAGATAATAGAAGACACAACAACGAGTAACTTCTTATCCGCCATGTCTGTTTACAAACAGTCCAAAGATCGCATAGGTCCGTTCCGTTTTTCTATGCGCATTAAGAGTAATGGTAAAAACGGAACGAGCCAATGTGCTCATATGATGCGCTGCTGTCGATGCGATCCATGCGTGAAACGGAACGCACCCAATGTCAAATAGAATAAATAAATTGTAAGTAAAAAAACCTACAACTGAAACTGTCGTTAAGGGTCTACAGGAGCCATATTAGAGATCTCTCGCGGAGACCCGCGAACTAGGCAAAATTATATTGCAAATTATGAACAAAATACGAAGAGAATCACCTGTTATGATATTTGCAATCAGGAGAAACGTCCGCAGGGTAGTACAGAGCGCTTTTTTGGAAAAAAGTCGAAATAAAAATCGATTAAATAATTTGAATGAACGTTCATCCCGCGGTGCAGCACGAACCTATATTTTCATTTATTACAAATTTTCAAGAACCTAAATGCAAAATCGGGCTCTGTACGACCCTAGATATTAATATAAGGAAGATGTCCATGTACGTCTGATAAGAAAATATGACGTATACGTGGCAAAATTTGTAAGTGTAGATAACACGGAAAGTGTAGCCCAGTTGCGCTATAGTGCAGTCTATATGACCTAACCTTCCTGCCTTGCGTTCGCGCGAGCAATGCATTAGTATTAGCGTATATATGAGCAGTGCATAAGTATTGCCGTGTATGTGTATCAATACCTTCCAGCTTCCACTTTAAAACATAAGATATTTTGCCACGTTGACGATATATGTAACCATTAAATTGATATGGAATATTCCTTGAACTATTATGGAGGTCCCTACAGAGCCAAATTTTGCAATCCGGCCGTCAAAAATTTATCATACATTAATAAAGCATCCGCCGTATCAACCGCTGCGAGTCACTCGAAATATCATTTTACGAGATGCAATATTTCGTCTCTTTGACGATACGTATTATTACCAAATTGTTGCAGCATCTTCTTCGTACTATTTCCGAGATCGATACAAAGCCAGATTTTGCAATCCGGTCGTCAAAAATTTATAATATATAAATAAAGCTATCCGTCGTACCAGGCGTTGGAGCGAATCAGTCGAGAAATCATTGTAGGTGATGCAAAATTTCACCTCGTTGACGATATATTTAACCGCCAAATTGTTATAGCATCTTCTTTGAACTAACCCCGAGAAACCTACAGAGCCAGATTTTGCAGTCAGGCCGTGAAAAATGTACCATAAATAAATAAAGATGTATGAAGCATCGGAGCGGATCACGTACAATACCATTTTACAAGAAGAGATCCGCCTTGTTGGCGATATATATAACCGCCAAATTTATATGGAATATTCCTTGAACTATTATCGAAGTCCCTACAGAGCCAGATTTTGCAATCCAGCCATTAAAAATTTATAATATTTTAATAAAGCGAACGTCGTACGAAACATCGCAGCGAGTCTCGCGAAATACCATACAAGAAAAGATATTTTGCCTTGTTGCACTCATATATTACCACCAAATTGTTACAACATATTTCTCGATCTATTTCCGAGGTCTCTACGATGCCATATTTCGCAATCAGGCTATCTAACTTTTATCATAAATAAATAAAGATGCACCAAGCGTCAAGGCGGATGACGCGAATATATTTTCACAAGAAGATATTCCGCTTCGTTGACGATATATGTAACCGCCAAATTGATATGGAATATTCCGTGAACTATTATCGAGGTCCCTATACAGGACTAGATTTTGCAATCTGGCCGTCCAAAGTTTATAAAAAATAAATGAGTCCGCCGTACCAAGCATCGCAGCGAATCACTTCAAAAATTATTTTACGAGATGCAAAATTTCGCCTCGTTAACGATACGTATAATTGCTAAACTGTTATAGCATTTTCCTTGAACTATCCCTGAGGACCTTACACAGTCAGATTATGCAATCCGGCCGTCCAAAATTTATAATATATATAAATAAAGCATCAGCCGTACCAGGAGTTGCAGTGAGTCAGGTGGAACACCATTTTACAAGAAGCAATATTTTGCCTTGTTGACGTAATATGACCATGAACTTGTGTTAGCTTTTCCTACAACTATTCCCGAGATCTCTACAGAGTTAGATTTTACAAACAGGCCGTCAACAATTTATACATAATTATTATACATAATTAAAGCGTCAGCTGTACCAAATATCGCAGCGAATCAGGCGGAATACAATTTTACAAGAACAAATATATTGCCTCGTTGACAATATACAGGGTGTCCTATTTAACCTGACAAATCGTAATATCTGGAAAACTACATGTCGGATAAAAAAAAATGAGTAATAAAATTTGTTCGTCTCGAAGGGGGACATCTAATGATATCAAATTCGACCTCCCACCCCACTCCCGGGGTGTGGGGGTGGGGGGCAACTTTGAAATCTTAAATGGGAACCCCCATTTTTTATTGCAGATTCGAATTCTGCACCACAAAATACGTAAGTTTCGTCCGAAACTTTTTTTTGATTCATGATAGATGGCACTGTAATCGCAAAAAATTAGATTTTCTGCAATTCTCCAGAAATAATCATTGGATTGAAAAATAAAAAAATACCTGTTCAATATTTTTAAAAACATTTTTAAAAAACATAATAACAGTTATTCCCCCCCATCCCCTCGGGGTAGAGTGGGTGGTAACGTTCAAATCTCAAATGAGAACCCACATTTTTCATTGCAGAATTAGATTTTACGTGAAGTTTTTATGGAAACAATTTTTTTCATTCGTTGAATTTTTCCGAGGAACTACTTTTAGCGTTACCCAGGAACAACGACGAGGACGTAGTAGCTTTCTGTTCCCTTCGGGGTGCTTGTTTTAGGTGAGTCCCCTCGCCTCTCACCATCGGGGTGATTTTGCATAATTAATTTGTTAGTGGCATCTCTCCATCGTCCGCGCCCACAGAACTTAATAGACGATCTATATTAGACATTTACCTTTCTAATCAGAAGAGGTGCTTAATCAATTTTTGAAGAGTGTTCCATGCCACTATCATTCTCTTCTGACTTTGCATCATGGATTATGTAACTGTGCAAGAAAAAATTGAAATGATTTTCATTTATGGCGAATGTAGGAGAAATTTTGACGATGCTGTCAATTTGTATGCTGAGCGTTTTCCTGAAAGAGTATGATTACGTTCTTCTTTCGTTAGAGTTGTTACACAGTTTTGTACTGATGAAAGTGTACAACTGAAGAAAAGAACGCGTAGAACTACTGTTTGTGAAGAAAATAATCAAATATCAGTACTAGCTGCAGTGTCCACATGCGAGCGTCCGAGAAATTTGTATAGTCGCATAAAAACTTCACGTAAAATCTAATTCTGCAATGAAAAATGTGGGTTCTCATTTGAGATTTGAACGTTACCACCCACTCTACCCCGAGGGGATGGGGGGGAATAACTGTTATTGTTTTTTAAAAATATTTTTAAAAATATTGAACAGGTATTTTTTTATTTTTCAATCCAATGATCATTTCTGGAGAATTGCAGAAAATCTAATTTTTTGCGATTACAGCGCCATCTATCACGAATCAAAAAAAAAGTTTCGGACGAAACTTACGTATTTTGTGGCACAGAATTTGAATCTGTAATAAAAAAGGGGGGTTCCCATTTAAGATTTCAAAGTTGCCCCCCACCCCCACACCCCAGGAGTGGGGTGGGAGGTCGAATTTGATATCATTGGATGTCCCTCTTCGAAACGAACAAATTTCATTACCCACTTTTTTTGATCCGACATATAGTTTTCCAGATATTACGATTTGTCAGGTTAAATGGGACACCCTGTATATAACTGCCAAATTATTATGGTATCTTCCTTGAACTATCCCTGAGAACCCTACAGAGCCAGATCTTGCAATCCGGCCGCCAAAAATTTACCATACATTAATAAAGCGTCCGCTGTACCAAGCGTCGCTTTTTTTATTTTTCTTTTATTTAATAAAAGAAAACAAAATTGATTAAGATTTTTTTTGTTTTTAACTTGCAATTTTTTTGACATATATATGAGTTATATGTATATTCAATTATGGTTATAAAAGTCAACAATAGATATAAATGATATAAACACGTTGTAAACGTTACTGTATAAGTGTTTATAAGTGCACGTGGATTGATAATAGTTACTTATAAATGCTGTATTAACCGTATATTAAATAAAACTTATCTTCACAGGCGAGAATAATAAGATTCGTGAATCACCATATCTGATATAACATCCTTTACAGATGCATATCCTGGAAAAAGATATTAAATTATCAAGCAATTAATTAAACAGATGTTAATATGGATAATTAATGTTTGCTGTAACTTGCCAGTTAATGCAAAAGCTAGGTCGATCTCTTTTCGCATGAGTTCAAGAATCTCCTTGGCGCCGTTTTCACCGTTATATGCAAGTCCCACAGCATTGGTCTGCCAAAGAATACCTGAGAAATAGAACACAATTGGACAATAAAACGCGGGCAATCAAATATATGCATATTCAATATGATCGAAATATTTTTTCAAGTCGTTCGATACATTCGTACCATTTTCGCACCCAATGCCAAGGCTTTAAACACGTCGATACCCTGCGTTACTCCTCCATCCATATAGACTTCGATTTTATCTCCTACACCTCTAATTATTTCTGGCAAAGCTTCTATCTGTAAGGGTAAATTATCTCAATAACTTACATACTAATATATCCTTAGATATTAATAACAATAATGTTAAATTATTCGTTTCAAATGAACGTTTGGTACTATATTCAATATGACTTCTAAGTTGCTTTCAACACAAAAACTGGCCTGACCGTGGCTGGAACACTATCTATTTGACGAGCTCCATGATTCGACACAATAATACCGTCAGCTCCGCTTTCGACGGCCAAACATGCATCCTCGACCGTCAAAATTCCCTTGAGAATTATCGGCAACTTTGTGATTCTATAATAATAAATCAATTCTAATCAGTTCTAATCTCGATGAAACGCGATGTTAAATGTAGCGCTGTTAAGATAAGGAAAATTTAGAACATCAACGCGAATACCTT